TTTTTCTATTAATTAACCAATCAGATGTCGTTCTAAGACAGCATAATGGATTATGCACGCCTTCATCTCCACTTCCTTCCGAGTTCACTTCCGAATATGCTAATCAGAGAAGTGTCGGAAGTGGGGAGTTTTTGCTATTGGTCATCTCTTCTTAATTGCTTCTCCCTTCTCTGGGACTTGGCTAGATGAAGGGTCCTCTTGGGCGTGGTCAGTTTTGGAGGCGACCGACCAGATGTGACTGACACAGAAGGCAATGCATGTGTTGTCTTAATAAGTCTAAGCGGTTAATACAAGTTGTCGTACGTTCGGGACTTTTGGGTTGCAATAAATAAAGAAGTGTTTTGTACGCGATATTTCATATATCGAGTGATATTCGTTCGGAATCTACACGAAGGTTTCCAGTAATAAACTTATTTGCTTCACTGCTCTGTAAAGCAAAGGGCACGTTCCACTGGAGTTTTCCAGATGTTTTATGACACCAGTACAAATAATTATGAGCAAAAGGGTTTGAATCCTAGTGTGAATTTTACGATATCGTTTGCCAGATGTTTTATTGCATTTTACGTTCTCGCATTCTCAAACAGATACATATTATCTCTTCAATTATTGTCAGCCGGCGGCAGAACCGGCATAAGACAACTAACAAGATTATCTCACACTCTCCAACCAGAAGTGTGCAGTAATTATTTACCTGTGCAACTTTCATCAATTCAACGATTTCAAAGCATCTTGTGTAGTGACACCTCCTATATAAGAAGTCGATCAAGAAATCATATCTTCATATAAGATTCAAGAAGATTCTACAACATCCATTTGTAAATAGTGTAATAAATTGTATAATAAACATATAATTAACCAATTCTCACGACTCTTGTACAGCCTCTACATCTCACTCCTTCCCGAGCGTCTGCTAGGGCGGGCGGCAAACTAAGCTATTGAAGCATTGGCAGTTCGAGCCAAGAATTACATCACTACAACTTTCGAACAACATTAATATTTTAATAGTCCAAATAAAGTTTTAAAAATCTAAATTAAACATTTTAAATGGATAATTATTTTCGGAAGTCAAAAATCTGCATAAAATAAATTTTCGTTTTGTATAAACAAATTATTGGCAGATAATTTTTCATTACAAATAAAATTGGAAAATTTCGTCATGTTACGGATTACAGCAATTTTACGCGGTAAACAAAGTGGGAGAGGTAAAGACACCTGTGCTTAGTTAGAAATATTTGCGCGTCGAGTCATAAACACAATTCTGCGAAATCGGGAAACCTCACTACAAATAATATTCGAATATTACATTATAATTCCGACTAACAAGGAGGCCGACGAACTCCCCAAAGCTAGACTCTCGTGACGTCACTCTAACAATCATCATGACAAGAGGAATCTAGAATTCATTGGAATCGCAAGCCCGTACTAGGATATTTAAGGAGATGCGCTTGACGCTCTCGCGCTCTTACTAGTTCAATCAAGCACTCATCAAGATCGGATCGCCATTCTACAGATCGACTCCAGCTCAACGGAAGCCAATCTCACTCGGCCTACCAACGCTGCTACAGAGATCGCTTCCAATACGTACGTAACGCTATTACACACGTCCCTACGTACTATCAATGCCACTGAGATCGACCTCAACACATGTAAGCTACGCTATTACACACGTTCTTACGGATCACTAATACACGGCTCCCGTCAAAACGAAGTAAGCAGCAATACTAATACACCAATACCGTCAACACCTATATCACGGTATGCAGTACGAGTAATCCTCCCACCCGTCAAGCAGTGACGTTACACGGACATCCTCCCATCATCAGACCGCTACAGCGCTCATCCCTCGCCAGCGGCAAAGGCGGCACCATCACTGCCCCTTATCAGCGCTAGTCTCCCACTGCCACTACGAGTTCATAACTACGAGTAGGAGAGTCAAGCACCAAGCTATCAATAATACACTTACAGAATTCGTGTCGCTAATATTAATTAAAGATCTATTCATTGTATCATACATTCATTTCGACATACATAGATCACTGACTATTTATTATATTTATTATATTCAATAAAAGAAAAGACACTACACTCAAAAGGTAGTGTTGAATTATTGTATTGTCCCTTCCACTTGCCAGCAAGCCTCCATCCACCATCACAGGGAGGCTTTTAGTCTGATCCCAGACACGTCATTTTATTAAAAGTCTTGATTTCGAGTAAACTGTGTAAAAAAATTACAAATTTATCATCGTCTTCTTGTTGATCCCATAAAAAACGACAAAAAATATACTGAGAATTAGTAGAAAACTTATAATTGAGCTGGCATTAAAATTTTAAAAATAAATCCTACAAAGTTCATGAATGTAAATTATCGAATGTATGATTATCTTCTTCAATGATACAAACGTAAAAATATTACTAAGAAATAAGTATAATGAAATAGCACAAAACAGCAATCATGATTCGTTAATATCACGAGTTCTTGTATATGAAATTTTTTACTTAAGGTTACACATTGTTGTACAAAAAATTGTAATGATATTTATATAATATTTATATTATAAATTATTAACCGCACAATCGCCCTCCTAAAACAGACTTTAAAGCGTTGCTGACATGATGGACAATCGAAACAGAAATCATGAGTTATTTCATATAGATTGTAAGCTTTGACGTAGACTCTTAAATACATGGCATGAAAGTCGATACTAAGATGTGCATAATTCGTAATACAAAGATCTCCGACAATGTGTCGTAACAATTAGGGTCTATCAATTAAAAATAAATTAAAAATGAATTTACGAAGTAAATTGTACGATAATGATTTCAGCATCTTTGTATGAATACTAAATTGAATGCAATTTGGTACTCTTCAGATATTTACAAACATAATGAATATACATACGAGTCTCGAGAAGTGACCCCGACAGTAATGAATAAAAATTAATGATAAAAAGGCACCTATTTTACAGTCGCTATTGTACAGAAATTGGATTAAAACATTGATTATACAAAAAATTAAGACGATATAATAGTGACAACAACTAAAGAAGAAATGATCCTTTCATTCCAATCATCTAATGAAATATTTTCAAAGATGTCGAAAGGGCTAAGATCCTACATGCGTTCCTTTATCATTGCAGTTACTAGTCTAAGAAAAAAATACTAAGGAGCTACTACCCTTAATGGAAACTCACAATATTATATTAGAACATGTCCATGAATCATATTACCACTGATAGAGGTAGAAAATAATTCAAAATACAATTACTAAATTTGCTATCTTATAAATCACTAACTAAGATTTAAATAAATCCTTTATTTTTATAGTTTTTATTCAATAACCTATTAATTCTTTAATTTATAAAATTGTAAAGATATATAAGTTAATGCAATGCGAATGTTTCTTATTCCAATAAAAATTTTAAGAAATTTTTGCAAATAATACGGTTTTTAAAAATAATGAAAAAAATTTCAACTGCCATTAAAATGGGAATGTAATCGATTATGTAATATCTGTAAAAGCATGAAAACGAAATCCAAATACGATTATTAAGAACTGATAGATTGTAATTTCTATACTCACCAAAAATATCAGTAATATGGTTCCCCAACAAGCCATAGCTAAAATAAAAAAATTCTTATTAATAATTAAAAAATGAAAACGTTCCTATAATACAAATTTATTATCATCTAAAATCATTTTATAGAATTTAAAGGCAAAAAATTGTTAAGTCTTTTGTAATTAAAAAATCTTAATTAATTAAATGATTTTGATATTACTTTTATTTAATTTTTTAAAACTTTCTTTCAATTTTATTAATCTTGTTAATTATTATATAAACAACCTTTTGGTAAACATAAAGTATCTTTATAAAGATAAAAATGAACGTTTAGTAAACAAAATAAATAACCATATATTTATAATTTTTAATGAGATACGGTAAATTTACGTAAACATTTACTTTCAACTTATAATGAATTATATACTAAATATTAATTTCTATTCATCATAATATATTTATTTTTTATACAAATAATTTAGTTATATAAAAAATAAATTTATTAAAGTTATGTTAAAACAAGATATTAATCAAATTCTTATTGGTACTACACATAAACTAAACTGCACTAATGGCATAAATCTGAATTTATTTACATTAAATATAACAGATTAAAATTTAATTATCATTACAAAATTCTTTGAAAATCACAAAATAAATAACTTGCACCAAGGAAATCATTACTATCTTATTAGATTTCCATGAAATTTACTTTACAAGGCTTCACTTCATTATATTGATTAGTATACTGTATATATTATATGTATTTACTATACTGTGTATATATATATATATATATATATATATATATACTTAAAAAACTCCCGAATAATATATAGAATAGTATCTTAAGAATAAACGAAATATTAATTAAATTATGTAAATTTAATAATCAAAATGGAAGCTGATTGTATTTTTAAAATATTTGAATTAATGGGAAATTGTATAGATTATGCAAGTTAAAAGAATTTAAAATAAATTAAATAATATTATTTAGTTTTAAATATTTTTTAATATTTAAAAAATAAATCTATTTATAGGGTATTATATTGCAAAACATATTATTCTGAATAAAAAGAATATTGCTTTATTATTTAAGACACAATCTCATGGTTACTAATGGGTAATTGAAGCCATAAGATTTATGAATTAAAAAATATATCTGAAATAATAAAACTATAATCTTCGTTATTAATTATTGTTTATAAAGTATTTTTTATTTTAAATATAAAGAATATCACATATAAATTTGTTTTTCGATAATTTAATAAATACTTTATTTTGTATTTCTACATTAATTGGCCAATATTAATAATATCGCAATAATATATTGTTAGTAGGAAGTGCTTAAATGAAATTAAAAAAAAAAAAAAAAAAAAAAATGATGATTAGAACGCTTATAGTATTGCCTCCACAATTGTATTTTAAGAGATGCATTTTTTGTTAACTTTTGTATTTAAAAATAGTTTATCTTATATATCTATAAATGCAACAACTGATTTTGACAAGTATTCCAATTAAATGATTTCAAAATTACAATTAAATGAGCTGTACAATTACAGTGGATACAATTCCGATGTATTTATTTAACGGTGCGGAATAATAAGTTTAGGAGTTGTTTTGATAATAATTTTAACTTGTAAAATAATAATTATTATATTTTGATATCTTGAATTTAGTAATGTTTAATTTATTTATTTTTCAAAAATAATTTACTTTTTACGCCTCAAACTTATTTGAGTATTTAAAGTTAAATAAATTTTAAGCTGATCCAATCGAACTTTAGAAACTGAAAATTCAATTTAAAAACTATTTTATTAATAGTTATTCATTTACAATATATTTTCTATGGATTTATATGTTTATAATTTCAATTTTATTTAATTTCATTTTACATTGAAACCTTTTGAAAATTTTAAATATATTACGAGTCGCTCACTCTACGGAAATCATCAAAATCATACTTTTAGAACGGTTAGTATAAAGTTTTAACTTGAGAAAGCAATGCATTTGAGTTAGCAACTACACGGTTTCACATTCCTTTTTCTGATAAGATTATATACTGTAGTAGCGTATGACAGCACCTGCAAACATTGCTTCGATTTTATACTAGGAGCTGTATTAACATATAAATTTTATAAATAGGTAAAAATTCTTGTAATCGCTAGTGTGAAATGAAGCGGATCTAAAATAATGAACGATCTAACCAATTTGTAATAAATAAAAGCGAGTAATTTTTTTTAATGTATTTGAACTACGAAGGGGTATTTGTTCTCAAAATTGAATATTCATTAACTCATTACTTTCATCATATAGTTGAATAATATATAATTCTTATCTTTTTATCCATGAATGATTTATATGAAATTGTCAATTTTTTCATTCGTCGCAGGCTTAATGTAAACAATTTTTTAGAATATTTTTATGTACAGAAAATATATAAATACATCGATTAATAATTTAAGCAGTCTTTCTCTTCTAATTTCTTAAATGATCTCGAAATGAAAAAATACGTATTTAAAAATCAAAATAAAATATAGGTTTAAGAATAACGCATAGAAAAATCTTTTAAAAAATTAAACGATCTTATTTTTTAATATTCATAATAAAATTAAGAAAGTATATTTTTTGGCTAAACTAATATTTAATTCAATATTACGACAGTAAATAACTATACTGTAAACTATAAACTATAATATATTTAAATATCGAAAACAAATTTTTTATCGTTTACGATTATAAATTTACACAAAATATTAATAATATGAGATGTCATCTATATTAATTATATATTATTAAATAATTAACTATTCTAACTGAAGTGACATATAGCCAGATTTAACTGTTGCGATGTCATACCAGTTATGTGACATCACTGTTTTTTATATTTTTTGGATACTTTAGATTAAAAACAGAAAATTATAATTATGTATAATACGTACGAATATATGTGTATTAGATTATTTATTTTAAAATTAATGATAACAGTTTGTAGTACAATTTAATTAATAAGAATTTGTCTGAATATTTTCGGTAGAAAATAAACGCCGGACAACTAAAACATATAATTTCTTCCACATTAATTTCGTATTAAAAAACATATTTTTAGATATACATAATCTCAAATACTCAACAAATTGGTTACATTTAAATTTATGTAATTCACTAAGCTGATGTAAATAAAATAAATTATAATTTTAATATATTTTCTAACAGAATATTTCATTTTTGTTCATTTAAAACATATTTTTTTATATTTTTTAATATTCCTCATTAATACTTAATGCTTTAAATTTTAATTTATAAGATCTAACTATTAGACACATTGTTTATAAATACTATTACTATAATAAGTTATATTAAACTAAATATTTTAATGTATAATTTTATAATATTCGTATGATTATATAAAATTAAATTTATTCTTGAATGATGCTTTTATTTAATATCAATTTTAATTATAAGAAATTTGAAAAATTTCCTTCAATATTGAAAAAACATTATTTTACATAAACATTCATTTTGTTTAAAAAACCGAATTTTTGGTAATTAAACAAATAAAAAATGCCTTTATTACAAACTAATATTAACAAATTGTAAAGGTACATTAAAAAAATGCCCAAATGAAATTTTCTTAGTTACTTGTTATTCATGATAGACAATTGAGTTTTTTATAAACAATCTTGATTCGACCATATAATGCGTCATATTTACGTGAATGAAATATTCCTTAAATAGGATTAAATCGTTACTCTGACATCAGTTTGGTAATATATACAGTACAATTGCTAATACTAAGTAGAGAATTTCCGATGAACACATTGATGTGGCAACGGTCATCTAAAGTATACTATCGCTAATATTGGAATCTTCGCCCTTTTGAAACGAAATAGTATAACTTGTCAAAGCCTTGCATTCAATTCTATAAATATTAAATTGTTCTTTGCACCCCATGCTTCAAGATTTTGTTTTTTATATGGTTTATATTTACTCTTGCCGTTAAACCATACTTTAATATAGTGTAAATAACCTTACATAAATATTATACAAAAATTTAATATGAAAAACCGAAACAAATTATTTTTTTACATTTGTATAAAATTATAATCTAAAAATGCTGTCAATTATGTTAAGAGTTCAAATTAAAAAAAAAAATATAAATAAACAAAAATAAATTTTACATAAAAATTCCAATATAAAAATACTTTAGTTTAATTTTAAGATTATAAGATCTTAACTAAATTCTTGATAAATAAAAAACAAAGGAAAATAAAATATAAATTTAAAATATTATACTAGTATTAATTTAGAGAAAAAAGTATATATAAAATAAAAATAGTATTTGTTAACAAATAACTAAAAATTTTAGTTAAAAAAATATTTAAACAATAAATACATTATTTTATTTGTTCTTATTATAAATCAAACAAGCATAACATTAAAAGTAAATGAAATTTAATAAATATAAACATAGAAATAATTAATACGATTTTAAATATCCCCAATAAAAGAAAGTTATAAAGAACATTTTATTAATTTTTTTATATTAATTTAAATTTAATTGATTCATTTAATTGATAATGATAGTATATTTCTTAGTTTAATGAAAAACTCAAAACTAGAATAAAAATAAAAATATATAATCGTATATATAAATTTTGCATATGACAATATTTATTAATGCATCATTATAAAATAATAAAATTAATTTTCAAATATAGATAATGAAATAAAAAGATTAGATTTGCTAATATTATTATGTACATTCATGATCTTACCTTCAAATTGGCAATGGCCATAGATTTTAAATGAAAGTAAAATTTCTTAATATTTTGTTACAAAAAACATTGGGGAAGATACTTATTAAATGTAAAAAGTGAAAACTTTATTTCATCACATGATATATATTGGTTTCTTACTTTTGATCACTGTCAAATAAAATAATCATAAGCTGGAATAACAATGCACTAAATGCACTTTTTATGGTAATTTTCTTAAAATCATCGCAATGTATCACTCGCTACATTGCTAAAATATATAGATTTTGGAAGATTCTATTTATTTAATTATTTTATTCCCAATAGTTATATAATAATAATATAACATTGCATGTTTTAAAATGTTTTCCGAATATTTTTGCAAATGAAGTTTTGATTATTATGATTTGTATTAATACTTAATAGACTACAAATTTAGATACACTTAAAAATTTATCATTTAATTCCGTCTAAGACAGTTTCGTAATTTGATCTTTAATTTTTATTATAGTTTTACCTTTGATTAATTATAATATAACAACGTAAAATAAAACACTTTTAATATCTTCACTATAATGAAATAATTTATATTACGTTACTATCTGGTTTTATGCACGTCCTGTTCCACATATAAAAATGGTTAGAACAGAATTATACCCAAATACGTTATGTTCAACAGATGACTTGAGACTAGTTTTACTCACTTCACTACTTCCAAACAAGTTCCTAGATTTCTATCCTTTTCTTTCTCATACGCTGTTTTGCTTGATACACTCAGTCTACTCACTTTCCATCTGCTTTTCCTCTCTCTCTTTTTCTCTTTCCCCCTCTTTCTTCTACATGAGAAAGAACTGACAAAATTCCATTTGAATTACCAATTTGATATATTAATATATTACTATTGATTAAGAAAGTTGAGTAAAGAAAAAAGTATGAAGGAATGAAAACAATGAACTAATAAGTGAATATGTGATTATTTAATAAATGACAACAACAATTAATGAAAAATAAATAAATAACAAATATGTACATTGTTCAAGAGTCAAGTATAACATTTTCAATATTCCCTCAATTTTTAGCATTCGCGAATAATTTAGGTTAAAGGTATTATACTGAAAATGAATAAATATATAAAAAAGAATGTAAAGATTCAGCAGAAAATTGTACAAAGGAAAAAACTTATTCAATTATTAACAAGATTTTATACATGTTCTTATATAACTATTTGACAAATCTAAAATATTTAGATTTGAAACTATAAAATTTATTTTTAATTTAATCTTATTTAATTAAAGATTTCATAATCTGCAATTGTATTTAATATTTTTAGTGTTGGGTTTGTGAAGGCCTCTTATTTTATCATTAAAAATTAGTGAAGCATAACAATTAACTGAATTTAAAATCTTTATAATAATAATAATTTATAATAATAATAATAAATTAACAATTATAACAAATAATCTAAGGTAATAACTTGGTATATTGGGTGTAGCTTAGTATTTAAAGTTTCTATTATAATATAAAGAATATAAAGAAAGAAAGAATATTAAGAATAAATGTTATTATATATAAAATAATGATAAATGCTAAGTAATAAAATGATTTTATTTACAAATAGATTATAGTAGTGTAACATATTTTACTAAAACATTTTAATGCTAACATTTTAATCACAAAAATCTGTAGAAATTTTAGTTTTTAAAAATATTGTTTTTATTTTATAAATAATACCAATAAAAAGAAATATAGAAATTTAATAACTGAACGTAACACACATGAAATGGGTTATATTAACAAAATCACCATGAAAGGTAAAAAGGAGAATAATTATACTTTCACTTATTTCTTGTATGAACAATCACTGTTAATTAAATTTATATATTGAAATGCAGAAATAAACTTCATTTTAGAATTTGCGTCTGTGATAATTTGACATGACCATTTGTCCAGTAAGATTTCTGAATCGTTAGGAAGAACCGAAGATTTTCCACAGGACAATTTTCACTGATGGCTACAATTCAAGTTTTTTTGTCAAATAATTTTCATTGAGTCATATGGGTCTATTTTAGTTAATAATTATATAATTTTTCAATTGTATTTCATTTTTATACATTTTTGTTATTATTAATGTTTTGAATGTACTATTAATTCACATTATTAATTCATTTATATTTAAGTAAAAAGTGGTTTGTTAATAAGTTAAGAATGCTTTAGATATAATTATTATGTTACAAAGGTTGAACAGATTGAAAAAATGTTATAATACTTTTATTTTAATTGTTATAAACTATCTTATAATAAATATGGATTATAATAATCTATTAACTAACAACTATAAATTTTATATCTATGTAGGATAAAAACAGAAACTAAACAGCATGGAGAAGTATTTCTCGATAATATTTGATCTACATACTGTGAATCATCAAAATGCTGCTAACTCGATCTTGATCCGTCGAACTTGATTAATGCATTTTACTAGGTTAATATTTAAAATTGTTCAATAAGTCAAAACAATAAAAATACTTATATATCAATTATTTTTCATTTCAATATATACCAAATAATACTTTTAGTAATGACTATGCTAAAATGATAATACTATACAATTATTCTATTATTCTGCATCTATTAATTTTAATAGTGATGTGGTGAGGTGAATTTGTAGAATTCGAGATAAAATAAAATTTCATATGTATTGATGATATATAAACAATTATAATAAAAGAAAATATATGATATCTAAAAATATAAATTCATTATAATTTATACAGAATTATAAACTTTAAATTTAAATATTGATATGTGTACAAATCCTTTTATTAGTAAATAATAATTATTAACTAATAAACATCGGAAAATATAGATATTTTGCTATATATTTAACCTCCAATGCAAATCAATCAATCTATCAAGTAACTAGATAAAAAATATATTTAAATAAACTAGAAAAAACTAAGCAACGTAATTAGATGAAAATATAATATTTAAAATCACACAAAATAATAAAATTTCAATGTAATCGAAGAAAAAGTAATTAAATATCTTTTTTCAAGTTTTTTTTTTTATAAAAAGATGTAGATGAATTTATTCAATCGAATCAATCTTTTAATATGCAACTATGAAACAAATTTGCAATGAAGATGAAATAATTATCTGTGCGAATTATATTATATGATTATAGTAATATAATATATTATTGTATCTCCTTTGCTAAATATCTGTATCAATTGCTTAAGTGGAATTTATTTCATTATGAATCTTAAGCGAATTATAAAGTATTTCTACTCTTTTTCCATTTATACGATCAGACTTTGTAAAGTTTTTTTGACGCATAATAATAATACCTAGCCATGGCTTAAATTCAATCGGTCCCTGTTTCATGTCATAGAATAGTTATTAAATACAATAAATTAATTTTTTTTGCTTGTCTTTTAAATTATGCAGAGTCGTTATGAATTATATTTCTGATAAATTTCTTCTATTTTCATAAATTAGTATAATATAATTTTAATTATATTAATATAATGCACCATTATTAATATTGGTCTTTCAATTTTTTTCATTTTCTTTTGCCATTCTCTGCTGAAAATGCCAACCATTCCATGGCGGTCCTGCTGAGGGCAGATCGAGACCCGTGTGCCATGGCTTCTACTGGTAGATGGTTAGATCGGTTGACTATGGTCGGGTCACGGCAAGATGTTAGCCGCAAGCACACTTCAGCGAGGGTGGTTCGACAAGAGATGTTTAGCAAGAGAGCGAGGCACGCCGCGTGCTTGTCTTATATATCCACGCGGCGGCTCACTTAGCTGGCAACAAAGCATCGTCGTTGTTGCACTAATTCTTACACGAGGCGTAGAAAGAAAAATCTAGAACCTTCGAGAATGTTCGACGAGAGAAAAGTAGGCGTAATACCCTTGTGTGATCTTATAGTATATTAGATTTCATGTCGTAAAACTTGCTCAGACTTGCCGAGTTTTGTTTATAAACATTCGCCCGAGCGCGCGTGCCGTGCGCCGCACACGTGCGTATGACCTACTTTTTCTTAAATTCATGGAACTGCTTCAATCTCGAACAGTGAACTATAATGAATTCGTTATTATAAATATAATTCTTTTGGAATTCAATAGTAATTGATTCTCAGTATGCAATTTAAAATGATTATTCCAGAAAGAATCCGATTTTAAAGCTTTTATACAACTATGTGATTCCATTCTGTAAATAGCAATCAGTGGTTAATATATTTAGCTTTAATAAAGAATTTTGTCAAAATATTTTTTTCTAAATACATAATATATCAAATTACATTGGTTGTATATTATCTTAAAAAATGCCAAAAATGTGCAAATTTAGATTATTAAAAAGGAATAGGGATACGTTCTTTCCATTCTTTTGATCAAGACGAATTCGATGAAAAATCAAACTTTTTTAAATAAATCAATAGTTTTATTTATGTACAATTTTTTTAATAATAAAAGAATAAAAAATTTACAAGTATATTATGTTCCGAAAATTTATTACAATACTTTTTGTATAAGGTCTTCAAAATAAATATAAAACCGTCTTTTACTTTTTGTTTTTTATTTTTCTCACATAATCAATTTTACGAATCGAACAGATTTAGAATTTAAAATGAATAAAAATATACATTTATAAAAGTTGATTAAATGTATCATAAAATACGATTATTGCAAAATAACAGAATATTAAATTAATAAATTATAAAATATGCTGTACATAAAAGTAAAGGTTATCCAATTATTTAGTTATTTAGATACAGGAATGAATCAACAGGTATTAAATATTACGGGATTAAATAACAAAACAGCAGATATGGGATGAACTATTATTTAACATTAAAAATTTAACATATTTAGTTCGTTCATGGCACTTTAAAAAGAATCATCTTTATTATAGCCATTATACCATAATATTATACCCTACCACAATCAATTAAGGTATTTTAAAATTTACATTTAACGTATACATCTATTGTCAAGAATCGCTACTAAATATGACTAAATGATCTGCGCGTAAATTATACAAAATTAATATATATTTAAAAGATTAAATCTGTTTTTTTGAGAATATACAAAGTCTATAGGCTGCTAATATTCTCGATACAGTAGGTTTGGGTAACAATAGAAAATAATTTAATTAAGCAAGTTTTTATTTTCTTTAAAACCGTTTAAAAAACAATTTTAATTTCATTTGTAATATATCTGGAAAACTAAAATCTCATATATTTACATGAATTTTATTGACCGTAAAATTTAATAAAATTGTAATATTAATAACATTTTACAAATTTTATGTATGAGTAGTTGTGATATTATTCTATAATATATTTTATACATAAATTACAAGTAAAAAATTATTAAAATCAATTAAAAAATTAATTTTTCTTTATCAAAATGATTATTATTTATAAAATTATACAAAATTAATTTGAATTTATTATTTTTTATTGTATGGTCGAAAATTCTAAGATTTAAATCTTGCATCAGACAGAATCCATAATTTTCCTAATGAACATACAAAAATATTTAAATATATTCTAATCTAGATATAAATTTGCATTAATCCCATTAATAAATTTATAAACTAATAGTTTTTATAGTTATTGACATTTTAAATATTTACAGGGAATTGTGAATATAAATCATAGTTATATGAATATGGCTAGTATGAACTTAACATAAAACTAGAAAAGAGTGTTACGTTTAGCGTATAATATAAATTTAATTCTTCTTTCGCCATCTATTGAATCACTTTATAAGTTGAATTGAATTTTAAACATGGCGCTGTTAGCGCGTGGATCTAAAAATATATTTTTTCTATCTATTAATTATTATTTTAAGTATATCTCAAATTCTATAACAATAAAGTTGTATAAAAATTATACTGCGAACTTTTTAGTATTTCATAAATACTTGTATAATATTAATTTCTTACATACCGGTAAATTTAAGAATCTAACCTGTATTAATGTGAATTTTAATATTAATTATATATTTAAAATTAAATTAATAAATTTTTTTTATAAAACAATGTTAAATTAACACCTAGTCAAATTTTAGAGATAAATTTATTTTATACTTGTAATTATAAATATTGTTCTATTTATTTAAAATTTGCATAACTTTATTTTAGAACTATTTGTTTTGCTAAAAAATATAAAAAGTTAACTTTATATTTATTGTTATAGATTTAACTACTAAAGAAACGAAAGAATCCAAATATATTATGTATGATGATCTTATAGAACATCGAAGATTGCAAGCTCAGAGATCAGTTTTAATAGAGATTCAATCCTATAGATCTTGTAATGATGTACATAAATATTGTTCTCGATATGGGAAAATTAAAAATATTTTTTATTATTCTAATTCAAGATTATTAAGGGTATGAATAAAAATATATATATATGTAAAGAATATTGTATTGTTTAATATATTATAAATATGATGCAGCATTTTGCTTTTATTGAATTTGAACATCAAGAACATATCGATAAAATTTTATCTATTTCAACACATATAAATTATGAACAGATAATACCAGTTCATTCCTCAAATTTGTGGTATCGGAATTTAAATAAATCTATAAATAACACAATATTTAAAGAATCTAAAACGCAATTCTGTAAATATACTTGCAAAATATTACAAGATGGTGATATTATTAAAATATTAAAAGATATTAGTACGGTAAATAAAATAGATTGTTTTCATTATTATATTATTTATAAGAATAATTTTGTCATTTTATCGAGCAGATTTCAGAACAAATTTTGTCATTATACGAAGCAACCAAATTAAATGATATAGGTGTTCGCTTGAGATTTTATACAGCTTATCAAATTGAACGCAGTTTTCATGGATTATTTCCAAATATAGCCATTTTACCATTTGGTTCAACTGTTAATGGTTTTGGTAAACAAAATTGTGATTTAGATTTAAGTCTTCATTTTGAAAAAGAAAAAATCGTGTGTATTTTTAATATTTTTAAATATTGTACAATACTAAACTTAATATAAATTTACTTCAATTTTTTGCACGTAGGAAAAAATGAACAGTAACTTAGTATTCCATACTAAATATTTTTCAATTACTGATAAACATAGAGTTCAAAATGTTATGGAAATAATAGCTGGAATAATGAATATTTGTATACCAGGTATTTTTAATATAAGAAAAATTTTACAAGCTAGAGTTCCCATTATTAAATTTGATCATAAGCTTACTGAAATTGAATGTGATCTATCTATGACAAACACGTAAGTTTATGTGTCATATCAATTTATTTTAATAATTTCCAAATTATGTAATGTATATAATTATAAGATACAGATATAAATATTATTTTATACATTTAAATAATAGTATTGGTAACAGCAAACATTTTGTAATAAGAAAATTTACCTAATTTAATGGGAAATATTTATTAGGATTCAATAAATTATAATTACTATTAATTTTAATTTAATTATTTATTGAATTATTATTATAATATTGATATTTTCTTTTTTCACTCTATATTTCATATATAAATTATTTTATGCGATTGTATTTAAAATGTAGATTAAAGAAATGTTATGCAAAACTATTCTTTAATATAAACAAACATTTCATAATGAAAATAATAAAAATAAAAAGTTAAAAAATTGTTATTATTTTATAGTATTATTATTATTGATATATTGCATTTAAATAAAATTTAGTTAATTCAATTACATTTCTACATAAAAATTTAATAAATTATTAGATATTTCAAACAGATTTATTCTATTTTGTAAATATCGTATAAATTTACAAATATGTATATTTTTTTTTTTAAATTTTACTCTATTTTTAGGTCTGCATATTACATGTCTGAGTTATTATATATGTATGGTGAAATGGATTGGAGAGTTAGACCTCTTATTTTTACCATAAAAGCATGGGCAAAAAATTGCAGTTTAACAAAAGATACTGCTGGACCATGGATAACAAACTTTTCATTATCACTTCTGGTATTATTTTTTTTTCAACAATTGAAAATACTTCCTCCACTTGATCTACTTCAATCATGTGCTAGTAAGTAATATTAAAAATAGAAAAAAAGAAATATTTTTTACAAAATATTTTCAAAACTATTTAATAATATAATTGCATGTTTAAATTCTTTTTTTATTAGATACAAATGATATTCGCTTAGTTGATTCTCACATAGATTGTACTTTTTTACGAGATATAACTAAAATTCCACAGTATACACTTGAAACAAAAGAAGAATCTCTTGAAAAACTTCTTTTAAATTTTTTTAATTATTATAGTACTTTTGATTTTGAAACGAAAGCTATATCATTAAGAAAAGGTAAACCGATATTGAAGCCAGAACAGTGCGCTTTGTATATATGCAATCCTCTTGAAATAAATTTAAATGTTAGTAAAAATGTGAAGATTGAAGAAAAACATCGAATACAATATGAAATGCGCAATGCAGTATGGACTATGGAGAATCAAAGTAAATTAAAAAATTTAGGATTAATAAATCTAATTTTTAACAGAAAAGAAGCTGTAACTGTAAAATTTAAGGAATCTATTAATATTAAAAAAATTTTTGAAACTGACAATTCAATAGTATGAAACCATTTATAACGAAAGTAATCAGTTTTTATGTACATAAAAGTTTTTTTTTACTGTTGAATTAGTATGTAATTTAATTCAAATGACTTTATTTGTTTTAAATTTAAGTTGTATTTGAAATAATTGTAAATAAATATAAAAAATTATTCTCAGAGTAAACTGTGTAATTTGTATCATATTCTTGAAAGTTTTTATTCATTCTTCTTCCTGTTATTTTATTCAATATTTGACATAATCATGTTATACTTGTTCATTCCATACAGTAATAATATATTTGAAATCTTAATATTTTTAGATTGTTGAAAATGTATCGATTAATTTTTTGTAACTTTTTATTAAATATAAAATATTAATTTGCTTATTTCTTGAAAAATTTAATTATTTGCAATAGTATTGATCAATGATTCTTCTGTCTTTTATCTTTTTATCAGTGTTATTAAGGATGTTTAAAAAGTAACTGTTCTATTTTTATATAATGATTTTTAATTCATTTTATTTTCCTTTTAATTGATTTATAAATGACCAAATTATATTATTTAATAAACAAATTACATTTCAGTATTTGATTTAATCAAATTTATGAATATTTTTACCACTAATAATACTGATAATAGTTTGTAACAAGTCTTTACAAATACATGTTTTTAAACTTTACTCAGTGTATATTAATTAAATTTTTTTAATTATAGATATTGATACGTAGCAATTGAGAAAGTATGGGTGATGAATTTTTACTAATTTACACATACAAAAGAAATATTAAAAAATAAATTAAAACCTAAAATAATATTATGAACGAAACAATATTGTAAAGATAAGGTATTTTAGTAGAAATGTATTTTGAATTAAAATGTAAAAATAAAATAAATCAGTTTCTGTCAAAAATTGTAAAATCCAATGAATTATCATTGTGATATCTATTGAGTGTAAAATGATGTCACAGCAGTTGCACATAAATGTAAATTATTATGTTAAATTTGCATGTAAGTAGTTAATATCACCGAAAAATAAGTTAAAAATTTATTTCAACTGTTACCAATTTTAGTCATATTAGTTTTTACTTAATTTGTTTTGTTTTTACGGTGGTAACGGTGCTGGTGAAAATGATGTTGGCGAAGTTGGGAACGTGTTTCTTGGACAGCTGCAACAAGGGTACGTACAGCTTCTTCGTGACCTTCGAAACTATCTGCTTTTTTTATACTATCTCCATCTCCGCTAACATTACCACTATTAGTGTTGCCATAAGAAACACAAATGTTGCGCTTACTCTTAGGGCGAGGAAATGTTTCCCAAGAACGCTGTTTATGCGTTAACGATGATGATGTAGGAGATGATCCAATTAAGAAAACGAGAGTCTTCCCTGTATCTTGGGCAGATAAACCTTGCGCCCCGTCAGTAATGCTAGACCGTCGACTCTCAGAACCAGTGCTTAGACTATCACAGCTAGCTCGCCTGCGCCGTCGTTCTCTTTTATTTACCGAAGTTGTTTCGTTTGCGTAGAGCATATCTTCAGAGTTTTTTAATGATATCACTTCTTCAGGTACTGGATGTACTTGAGCTTGAACTCGTTTTTTTACCTCACCCACGCTTGAAGCTTCTGATATCCGTTGGTATTCATATTCGTCATCTAAATTTAACAAATTCATAGTTAATTAATAATTGATAATTAACTGATTTCTAAAATTTTTTTTATTCATGTAAAGGTATAAATTAGATGTTTTGAATAGTAATTATATTTAGACTTATTGAAATCAAAATTTAAGCACTCAAATAAATTTAGCATTCATAGTCGTTTATTTTGATATATAATAACTTCGTTAAAAATATTTATTTTTACAGAATTTCATATTTATTTCATGGCCATACATATATATTACTTTACTTTTAAATAATTGATTATAATATAATGTATTACTTATTTTTAAAAGCTAATATATTTCATGTTGATAAGATATTTAAAAATATTCTTTTTATTTAATAAAATTTTTACTATTTAATAGTGAATATTTTCAGAATTTAGATTATTTTAAGTATATTACGGATTAATTAAACATTTTCAACGGAATTTATTCTGACTAAATACCTTGATGTATCAACTGCTGTGGTGGAAGATTACTAACTTGGTGCTCAATAACTTCGATGGATACATCATTTCCGCAATTACCACCTTTTAATGTTCGATAAAGGGAAAGAACTTTACTGGTTGATGAATGTCCAGGGGGGGTTTTTGGCTTAATGTTCTCTGGAAATTTTCGAGATCGACGAGTATGACTTCGATCACGTACCTCTTCACTGCCAGTCGATTTCTTTCTGTCTTCTTTGATTCGGGCTTTCTCGATCAGTTGACTAAGAACACCTCTTTTTGACTCTAATTTCGTTTCATATACAACTATATTTCCACTTGAATCTAAGACAGTTTCAGTGCCACTACATGGCGTTCTACAACGAGTTGGAATTTCTTTTGAATCTACAAAATATTTTTCCAAGTAAAATATTATTTTTTCATTATTTACTAAATATGTAATATTATATTCATTATTCTACCTTTAGTGTACATCGCATTATCATTCGCACTACAATTTCGTTGATGGCGATATTCTTTGGTTGATGGTGTTGTGGGCTCTTGTATTTTTAAACATCCTAAATGATCTAACAAAGCTTGAAAATGTTTTTGACTATTGATATCTGAAGCAATCGTATTTAATTCACTGGGATTTATGCCTGTTACGAAAGATTTAATGAATGGTTCTAATTGTTGTGCGACTGTATGTAACTGTTTCACTTCGCCTTTGAGCGATAATATGTTATTCATCTATAATACATTATAATTATAAAATTATATATATTATTTCAAATATGTATTATATTATAGTTGAGAAAATAATACTACAAATTTACTTGAGAGTAAAAGATTTCTTTTTCTAATTGAATACGGGAATATTGCTCTTCCCAAAGTGCATCAAACATTGTACGTAATCTTTCTAATTCTACTTGCTGGTATTCTAATTGTTGTTCTAATAAACTGCAGTCTCGAGATACATTTTCATATCGAGTTCCCAATGTTAGAGTATTAGCTCTTCGTAACAACGTGACGTCTCGATGAAGTTCCCCTAATCGTTCTTTAACTGTTTTCAGTTGATTACTTAATTCTTGTAATTCATTATCAAATATTTTACAGTGATTATTGAATCGGCTAGATTCATATACACTTTTTGTTTGAAGTTTTAAGTCTGATTTACATTGCTGAAATCAATTGAATTTTTCACCAAATCTCAGAAATTTAATAGAAAATATAATACATTATTATTTCATCTAATAAATAAATATTCTCCTTGTTCATATATTTTTAAACATATTTTTGATGCTTACAATAATGATTAATCAATTTAACGGATAATACAAAAAATTATTCATCTAAGGGTCATTAAATTTAATATTTTAGATTAAATATTAGAATTATTATTTTAGTTGAAAGAATTTCATAAAAATTTTGATTGTTTGTAAATAATATTTTACCTTCTTTATTATAAATAAAAAAGCAAGTGATTATATTAATTATAATTTATAATTAAAATAATTATACTTTGTATTAAGTGTTTGGAAATTTTTTATATTAATTCTTATAATTTACATTTTGCAAAGTTACTATTTACAAATTAAATTTAAAACGAAATATTATTAATATTTTTATAAATTTTTTGTTAATTAAAGTTCGCTAATAATAATAGATATTTCGAATATATTATTTGCGAATATTGATCAATTTGTAAACTTACAGAGAACAGTATAATAAGTTATATGGATATTTAAATCGCAATAAGAAATAAAGGATTTCATAAATTAATTTTAGTAATTATTTTCTAAAAATTCTATAATAATTCTATAATATGGTTTAACATTGTATAAATGCTTGGAGATCTGATAATTTGATTACATTAATAATTTATATATATATATATATATATATATATATATATATATATACTTTTTAAATCAGCTATCAGCATTGATCAAGATTAATATTTGTTTTATTTATAACTTACATTGGAATTTATATTTATTTATTTGAAATATTTAAGGCTAAGGTCAATTGCCAAGCAAATATAACATTTATATAAAAAAATACTAATAATTCTTTCCAATTGTTGATTTCTGTCATAATTTAACAATTTAAAAACAAGAATATGAAATAATAAATATTTATATAATGAAAAATTAGATGGATAAAAATGCGCTCATATCTCAATATGAAAATATATCTTTATACCTGTATCAAGTGAGTATCCTGTTTCTGAGAAGATTGTAATTGCATATGATCGTAAATAATTTCTTTGGGCATTAAAGCTAAACCAATAACAAAAGGTTGCAGAGTTCGTGCGAATTCACTTTTATAACTACTATTAAGATGGGCATTTAACAAAGGCGGTCTCGATAAATGTCCCAATTGAGCAACACGACCAAGCCGTTCGAGCATCGGGTGTGCTAATTCCAAGAATTGGTACTTGCTCGTTGCACTTGTGAATGCTGTGCATAGTCCAAGGTGCGTTTGGAGAGCAGGTAATACAATACCTAATGATAAAAGTTGCGTCCGTACCATCTTCTCTTTTATATCAAAGTCACGATGAAGTTCTAATAATACTGTAGAGTGGGTTTTGTTTACTGCCTCTTGAATCCCCTGTAAATATGCCGATGGCTTCTATGTTAGTATATATATACACGTACATATTTCTATAGAACTAAAATTATCAATTGTTTTCTCCTTCTCCACCCTTCCAAATCATATATAAAGAGAAATTAATTAAAACTAAAAATTCAAAAATTCCTTTAAAAAAATAATAAAAAATATTTATTTGATTATACATATATATATCATATAAGAGAGAGCAATATATATTTCGTTGTCAATATCAATATTTGCACTAAATTTTAATAAAATATTAAATTACTTTGAGTTATTTTACATCGCATGTCCTATTATTAATAGTAAAAGTATCAAGTTAACAAATTATTCCAAGTTACGGTTTTGACTTATTATATAAATATATATATGCATGTTTTATGACTATATATTACATATGACTATATGACTATATACGCTAACGCTATTATGATATTAATCTAACTTATCAATAAATTTGAATTTTTTATATGAAATTTTTATTTATTTATGTTTAGTTACTCAATTATTTAATCAACAAATTCATTTGTAATATAATTATTCAAAACAATTATTCTTAAAGTTTAAATTTGAGTATTTTTAAAGCTTTGTAAAAATCGCTGTCAATAAAAATTTATTGAATGTAAATATAGAACTTGAATTTTTAAATATTTTCCATACAAAGTGATTATTTACATTTATGCTTATTCTTTTTCAAACAAAATAATTATTTTCTACTGAATCACTAATCTTGTATTAGACTTAAGATTTGTTTATTCTTTAAGAAATTATACATTTGCTGAATTATTGCTAAATTAATATTCATAATAGTTTGTTATAATTACTGTAAATATAATTAATCTATAGTATCATAATATAATATAACATTTTTACCGATAATAGGGTATTTTATTATTTATTATCTATACTTAAATATTTTTGCATGCTTGAAAAAATGACAACACAAGAAATTATAGTCAGTTGTCCATTATTTCTTCTTTATTTTATTTGTTTTTATTAATCTTAATCTGCCTTTATTTATTTAATTACTGTCATATTTTTATTTATATACAAGGACAGTAAATTTCTTAAAATTTCAATAAATTAGTTCAAAATTATTTTTAGTTAATAAGACATAATTGAAAAAGTAAATAAAATTATTGCAATTTTACAGAATATATATTTTGTTATCTTTATTATTATTTTTATCAAATATAAAGCACTATAAAAATAAATATAATACTACGAGGTTTGTATTTTTATAAAAAAGTTTATTTGCACGCGCGTGTGGATAAATAATTATATTTAGTTGTCCAATATTATTTAAATTTATTTAATTATGACATAAATTATTTTTAAGTACTTTTTTATATTTTGTCCATATACTTATAAATCAGAAACATAGTAAAAAATAATATATTCTGTTTCAATTATTAGAATTAGTTAAATTAAGTTAGAATAATAATTTACATATATCTGTTTTCTTGAATGTTGTATCCTCAAAAAATATAACAAACGCCAAAGTTATAGTATAATATTTATACATACTGAAAGAATTAGTGCCGTATAAGAACGTGTCTTGCTGATTAAATATTTTATCAACTTTATAAACATTCATATACTATTACTTTAGCGTGATTTATAATGTCTTCAGAATATAGTATTTAATATAGATATTAAAAATAATATATTTGAATAAATAAACTTTGTAGTAAATTCTTGTGGCTATTCAATAAATTATTTTATTTTTATTGAGTATATTAACATTGGTATTTAGTTATTTCACGTTATTTGAAAATAAAAGAAATTTAAAACATGAAGCTCAAAAGCTCGAATAAGCTTAAGACTTTTTAGTTAAATAGGGCTGAAATAAAGATAAAACATAATACTAATGAAAAAGTGAAATGTTAAATGCCTGATTAAGAATTAAATATAGATTTAATATATTAGATAATGTAGTATTCAAATATATAGCCATGTAACTATTCTCTACCTGACAATAGGCGTTGAGCCCTCGCTTTTCTGTATCGACGTTGTGCTTGAGTTCGTCGAGTTGTGATTTGAGATCGAGTAGTCCTTCACGCATCGCCGCTTGCAGTTCACAAATCGAATTCACGGCATGTTCCATTTTTTTAGAGGTTTGTTGCCAAGCTGTGTCAATATCAACACAATGAAGTCGTACATCAGCTGGTGTATCACGAAAACATGTAGCACATAGCATGCACTTATCGGTTTGATTAAACATAATATATTGTTCACCATGACTATGACATCGTCTTTGCGTATCCTTCTTACACTTACTCATGTGTATAACTTCATGTGATGAAAACATCTTGGCTCGATGTGTGTGTTCTCTGCAGTGCGTGCATAACGCTTGGCCTGTTTCACCATTAAAGATATTTTACTGTATTACATTAAGACTGAAGATGAAGTTTAGTTTTTACCAACATCGATCGATCGATCTACCAACGCTTGTTGCCTTCTAAAGGTTCATCGATCGAATTGCGCTCAAACTATACTTTACCACAAGTGGTGCAGAAAAACATAGTAGTCTTGTCGCGCTTCTCGCAATTGGCACAGGGTGGATTTTCACAATTGGCCAATTCGACAAGTTGCCGCATTAATTGATCGATCGGTGGCTGCTGTGCTCCATCCTTCATCTGCGTTGTTTGCCTGTAGTTTCCGCAATAAACTTGGTGTCACTATGACGACTCACGTAGGATGGTTTCCGCCTGGTAATGAAATAGCAAGCATGCTCTCGGTCGATTTTTTGACTTTCGAGCATTAACAAAGGGAACCACGGATTTGACGAAAATGTTAAGGGCATGTAATGCCGTCAATAAAATTTTATCAAATTCTCTTTGTCTTTAATTTTAATATTCTTTTTCATTACCTTTCGTGATTGAAAGCTATTCTTTCATACCGATGAACAAAATATGCGATAATAAACATTGAATTTATTTTGCCTATGTTTGTTAGCTTAAATAGCTTTATCAAGTAATTTGTAAATATTAATTTACATATTAAAATTTACTATATTATTACTTCATAACAGTCTAGCATATACATAGTGTCATACAATTCAATGATGAATAATTTTAATAAAATATTTTTTTAACGATTTAATTTTAATAATTTAATTTTATTATAGCATATATATTAAAATTAAAAACTCACCCACAAATTGGGCAAGATATTTTGCCATCCAGTTGTGGACCACGAAGACAACGCACACAAAATGTGTGAAAGCAAGATAGAAGGCATGGATCATTGTAATAATCGTGGCAAATGCTGCAAAGGAGTGGATTCCTAGAAATTACTGTCGGTGCACTTACGCTGGCATCATCAACATTTTCGGAATCAATTGCGTCACTCCGAATAAAATTAGAACTCGCCATTTCTTCCTTTAATACACAATATAAAAATATGATTTTTTTTATTTAATTTTTATAATTTTATTTATTGCACGTTCACATAGTACTTCATCTCATTTTATAAAAAATGAATTCAAACTTTCATGAATTATTTTGCAAATTGTCATTCAACCATTAGTTCGATTGTACTGAAAGTACATGTATTAAATCATTTTTATTTTTAATAAATATATATTATTGCCCGATGTAAATTATATAAATCAAATAAATATTCTACATATTTTACTTTTCACTGTCATTTATATAAAAATGTTTGCATATTTATAATATTTTTATATATAAATTGTTACCACATCAATTTACTGCAAAATGATACTCAATACAACAACAAATATTTGTCGCTATTTTCGAAACGAATATAATTAAATTAATGAATTATGTATACATATATCCACATACAATAATATTACTACTATTATTTTTAATATACTTACTATTTAAATATTTTTAATAGTTTTTATTAAAGAAAGTCTAACTATTGGAATAATTCAAATATTTAATTTATTGATTAATTAATGAAATAAAATCAAATGAATATTTTTATTGTAAGTTTTTAATAAAGAAAATTATAATATTGGGATAGTCAAAGAGAAAAAATTAAATAAAATGGAAAGTAAAAAAAGAGAGCAAGAGAAAAAGAGTAATGGTTGAATGTGTGGCGGGGAGAAAATTTGCAAAGTGGACACGCCAAGTTTGACAATGTGCATTCGTATTCACATGTTTTGTGGCTGAAATGTTATTTGCTAAGCATCTGCTGATTAAAAGAGCAATGCCATAAAACACAAAACACATATATACCGGATAATTCTAATATATGCATAATTATAACGATTGAAAAAAACTGAAGAAAAATGAAAACTACGCATGTATGTAACGCGCACAAAACTTGTCCTAGCGAGTAATCGGTCAATAGTAACCGCCTTTTGTTCATTCAGCAAAGAATGGTTCATTGCCCCGTGATGTGATCACAATCATCGTTGTGGACATATCAATCTGCCATTTTTATTTGATAACGACTAGACAAGAGATTCAACAGCAGCGACTATGAGTCTGCGCGTATCACATATTATATGACGTTCCTCTTTTCCGCGCATACCCAAAGTATATTTCACGCGTATGTAAAGTAAAAAATAAAGATTTACTTATTTATTGGATTCCTCTGCTATATTTTTTTTCATTACGTTGTTATGATTTGTTTAAATAATCGATAAGTTATTTCGCTTATCTTACGCTCATTTCTGTGTGTATTTATTTACTGTATGTATTTAATTTACTACGTAACGAAAAATTAATTTTTTTGTATAATATATTTTAGAGTATTTATTATTTAGAGTTTATTATTTAGATTTAGAGTATTTTATATTATTAGTATATTTATATAGTTTATATTACAATCGAGTATTTTATTATTAGAGAGAAAGCAAATTGAATCTTTAGAAAGTAGACACAGTGTGTTATACTGCACGGGCTGAACTACAATCAAATCCTTTGTAATGTAATTTATTCTTTTATGATATATAAATTTTCAACTTTTTACATGAGTAATTTTTAGCTTTCGGATAGTAATGTAGTAAAGTATAGTTATTTTATAATTTTAAATTATTATTTAATAAAAACAAAATTTTCAATTAAAAATTACATTTTTTTAAATCTAAGATATAATATAAATATTATGTATATTAAATATTTAAAGTAAGATATCCACATTGATAACAAATGAATAACCGTTACATGGAAATGAAATTGATCTAATATGAAAATATTTGTTTTCGTGTACTGTTACCCATAAAACAAAAACAAAACAAAACAAAAATTGAAGGAATTCTTAAACTGTTAATCTAATGTCACTTTTTATACATTTTATTACATTTATTTAAAGTCTAGATAAATAAATCTGATTTTTTTTTAATAAAAGTATTGCTTATTTCTTGTATCTTCATTCAATATTATTTTTAAAATGTACAAATTTAAATTATCAGTAATAAAATATAAAAAACAGCAAGTATGTAATTGTGTAAATGATTTTCTTGATACAATTTTATTTTTCTTGTATTGGTCACAATTGAAGACAAGATTAATAAGATATCGAAACTTCTAGTGGTAATATATAGTGTTTTACTGTAATAATATATAGTGGTTTACTGGTATTTTATGTTTTTTCTTATTTCTTCAACATGCCATCACGTGGTGAAGATATTTTTAAAGGTTTTCAAATGTATCCTTAAAAATTAAAAGTTTTGTTTATATTTCATTCTCTATATATATATAGGTTATGTTTTGTTTGAATATTTTACTCAAAGTTTAATTTACTTTAGTAACAAATGTAGAGTTTTTATTTAAATTATATTTTATTATATTATATTTGTATTGTATATTTTTTTCTTAATAAAATTCTTTTCAGTAATTGGATAAATTTGAGAGATGCTGATACTGGGAAAATTTTGTGGCAAGGAAATGAAGACTTGTAAATATTTTAATAATTTCTAATTGATTATTTAGAATTAGTTACTAATTATTTGCATTTCAAATTTAGGTCTGTACCAGATATTGAGCATGAAGCAAAAGTTCCAAAACAAATATTGCGTTGTCGTGCAGTTTCTCGAGAAATCAATTTTAGTACAGCAGAACCTATGGAAAGATTCAGGTTGGAACAAAAAGTTCTTTTTAAAGGACGCTGTTTAGAAGAATGGTTCTTTGAACTTGGTTTTGTTATTCCAAATAGTACTAATACATGGCAAAGTCTATTCCAAGCTGCACCTGAAAGTCAAATGATGCCAGCAAATGTTTTAAAGTAGGTATATAAAACACATTATTTAAGGGATTAATATCTTATGTAAACATTTATTTTTTCTCAACAGTGGAAATATGGTGATAGAGACCAAATTCTATGACGATGATCTTCTTTTAACGATGAGTCGTGTGCGTTTGTTTTATGTTTAATATACATTTTTGTGTGCATTTGTTTTATATTTATTTTATATTTCTATTAACGATAAGGTGTTCATGTTATATGAAAAATGGCTGTTTCTATAATTTTTATATTTTTGTAATTCCAAATTGCTTAGATATTATTGTTTAATTAAATGGTAGATTAGAAAAAACATATTTTAATATAAATACATTAATAAATATATATTTGTTAAAATTGAAAGTAATTGTGGAACTAATTAATTAGATGAGCCTGACCAATAACTACATAAATTTACTTAAATTTAATTTGAAATAGGTAAAATAAAACTATTTTAAACTCTTTATAATATGAATAACCAGAATTTCTGTTATTTTTATTATTAATTTGTTTTTAATTAAATAAATAGTAAATCATAAATAATATTATAAATAAATAATATTTATTTATATATATTATAAACACAAGCAATTTTTGTCTTAATTTCATTTAATGTAATTGTTGATTATTATTTAATTGTAAGAATATGTGCTTTTTAAATAAAATAAATTTAATACATCTTCTATCATCATCTATCTTTATATGTATGCTTATATTTTATGAATTTATTTCTATAAATATTGTTATAATGTTTGCAATATAAAATTAAGTGATTAATATTGAAGTTTATAATAAATATAATAATTTTTATTATAAGTATTAGTGTATTAAATAATTTTTTTTTATTTCTTAATGTTAATAATAATTAAGATTTTTATTCATAAATGTAGATATACTTGGTCAAATTTTGGTAGATTAATTAGGGAGATAAAAGTATTATATTATTTTAATAAGACAAATGCATTATATATAGATATACAAAAGTCCCTGCATTTTCTAAATTTTTTGATAAAGCCTAACAAGCGAAAAAGCAGGTATATATTTTTAGTCATCCCGTCGTTGTACTATTGATTCGTGGTGTACAAGCAATTTTTGAGGCTTCTTTATCCCTCTTGTAGAAGCTCACGTTAAATATATGATCCCCTACCCTATTTGCTTTGTACAGGTGTAAGGAAAAAGAATAAAAAAAGTAGGAAAGACACGAGACGGCCGTCTCGTGTACGTATCTGTTTAATAAAAACTATGGCGTTACAATTCTTTTAAACAATTTAATCATTTACGTCATTTTATAAAATTATTAATAGTTAATATTAAATATAAATATCATTATGGATTTTAAAGAGGATGATAACATTAGTGAAACAAATAGACAGCTGTACTTGGTTGATACACCAAGAGATCCTATGGTATCTGCCAGTGCAATAGTGACGAATAGTAGCACTTGTGATGAAATAAGCACTGAAGGAGATATTCAATCAAGTGCTTTTGTTGGCTTAATAGGAGCACAATCTTCTTCAGTTTGCTTTCCTACTAAATTCAGTAAGTGGACAGTATAAGCTTGGTCCCTTGTCTGATTTAATTATCCATGCAGTCTTTCTTTTGTAAACTGGAGGAGCACTCAATTAAATTATTACTAAATACATTAAGTAGCTCCAATTTTAAAATAAAATTAGAGATAATCACTTTCACAGTTGTAGATTGGATATTTATTATCCGATCGTCAAAAGAATATTTATATCTGAGAATTTTGTTAATTTTATTTTTGTGTTTTTTATTAATACAAAAATTCTAATTATATTTTTATATCTTTGGAATATAGAAAATCCCACAGATTGTCTTAATATTTTATTTTAGCATATGATTATTCTTCTACAAGTCCAAGAAATGAAGAACGACAATCAGTTAACATCATTGGTAAAAGAAAACAACGTAGATATAGAACTACTTTCACAAATTTTCAATTAGAAGAGCTTGAAAGAGCTTTTCAAAAAACTCATTATCCAGATGTTTTTTTTAGAGAAGAATTAGCATTAAAAATACAATTGACTGAAGCTAGAGTTCAGGTAAACAAAATATTTAACAATCTTGTAATTTTGATATTATTCCTAATTAAACATAATTAAGTAATTAATAAAACTAAAATAAGAAAACTTATTTACTGTAAGGTATGGTTTCAAAATAGACGAGCTAAGTGGCGAAAACAAGAAAAACAGTGTAAAGGTAATGCTCATTTCACAACGCATCTTATAACAGATTGTCAGGATATACAACAGCCTCAGGCAGAGCATTTATTGTTAGAACCTCCTTTAGGAAGTTCACCTCCAATATATCTTGGAATGGAATGGACAGGATTTTCACCATACAATAGCAGTACTACTACAACTTCCCTAATTATTAATGGAATGAATAAAATTCCAGATTCTGATAATAATCCCTTGTTAGATCCCGAATTACTTCAATTAAAAACACCTCGATCATAATACAAGATAAAAAAATCTAACAGATTTTTGACTAAATATACATAATACTAAAATCAAATTTTTTACTCTAATTCTAATTAAAAAAACATTAATAAGCAGGCTTTGAAAGAAATATAAACAATACATTTTATTTTGAGTTCAACAAAATATAATTTATTAATGTTATTTTTTCAAATCTATAAATAAATGTATAATCTTTTACTTTTTATAAGATAACAATATGACAACAAAAAAGAAATTCGTATACCCTTCCTTCACCCTCAATAAAAGAAAAATGTTTTCATGTGTTTTATGAAGAACGCCTATTATTAAAATTTGAATCTCAATGTCTTCTCATTTAATTCAATTAAAATAGTTTTTTTTATTTAGAGCGCATATATTACAAGTCATTCGTTCCATTCATTACAATTTTCATAGTAATATTGAGAGTTGTTAAATAAATCAAAATGCTCATTATTATTGAGTACTAATGATAATATAATGGTGAATTAATATAATTTTGAATAAAATGAAGAAAATAAAATACATTTTCAATAAAATTAACCGAAATTGAGAAAATTATCGATTATATTGGTACATTTATGTTATTCAATATTTCAATTGATTCAAATATAAATATTTTTATTATTTAATAATAATGATAACTATGACGATAATGATGATAAAAATTAAATAAGGCTAAATCCTCGGTATACTGTTATCTAAAAAAATGTACAATTTAATAAAGAAAAATCTTGCAAAAACCTTACTTGATATGTAAAGTTTTTACTGTTACATTTGGTACCTTTATAGCTGCCATTAATGTCGTAGCAGAGAGCATCACAAGTTAAAATAAATTAATAAGAATAGTTGTGTTAAAATTACGCAACGTACGAATATTCATCAGCACTATTTGATGTACGTTCAATGTACTGTTTATCGATAAGATTTTCGATACATTTCTTGATCATTCCTATAGAAGGTGCAAATGTAACTTTCGATTGTCCAAGCACCTACACAAAATAAATCAATTAAAGGATTTATATGGAATGTTATTGTACTATAAAAATTTATTAATTAAATCATTCATCGAACTTTTGTAAATAAAATTTGATTTAGATTGGTTACATTCATTTATTACAGTACATATATTTTAAGTTGAAAATAATGATTTAAAATTATTATAAAATTTTATTATAATTACATATAGCTTTAAAGTAATTTAATGAATTTTAACAAATATATAAGAAAATACCACCTCTTGTACAAGTTGATTGTGTCTCAAAATTTTGCGACTTTTCATTATACGAACAATTGCAGCTTGCAAATATAATTTACGATCATCATCAACGCTACGATGAGTGGCTTCTGTATCATGTGGTGCATCGCGATGAAGCGCTCCAGTTATACGAAACTTTGTTCTCTTATTATAATAGTCAAAATTAAGTGTAAGAATAGAGTCCTCTTCTAAATTTCCTTTACTCGATTTTTTGAGAATTTTACAATCAACAAGACTAATAGCATGTTTCACCAGTTGATCATAAGATAATCTTAGAGATGCAGCTGCTTCTTTACATGAAATTGAATCACAATGTTCAAATAATAGTAATAAAGCCATTTGATATGTTTGTACAGTCACTAAATATGGTTTCTTTAGATAATTTAATTTGAGTTCTCCTTGGCATAAATGATGTAACCAGGTGAGTTTTCTTCCACTAAATTGTGCATGATAAAAGGATTCAAACGTTTGCACTGACTTTTCAAGTTGTTGGGGTACGTGAAATGGTCCAGGGGACGGTGGGAGTCCTAGTGGCCAGGCACCAGCTTGTAATACATATACTACAAAGCCAATACCAAATTGATGATTTTCACCTTCTCTCTCTCGTAAACTAGCTGTAAATTTTGTATTTAAATCTGATGATACAGACATATCTGTAAACATCCTATGTAATTTATTTGTAAATTCATAACCACATGCTTGTTTTAATCGATCAATCATAGCCTCTTCTGCATCCATGGATTGAGATTGTTGATGAATTAATCGTTTAGCTAACATTCGAGCATAGAACTTTTGAAAAATATCTTTGTCATCTACGTATTTGAAAACAGTTATCGAACGTGTTAATTTTTCTTCTATTTCACTTTCGGATGCAAGCTTCGCTGATTTTTTTAGCAATGAATCACAATACTTAGCTAACTTTAAAACACATTATAAAAACATATAAATATATTTTAGCTGCAAGTCATAAATTAATTTACATTAATATTTTATCAATCAAAAATTAAAACATTTACCAATTCTGGTGCACGTGCTGATTGGCGTGGTGTAGACTTATGATTTGCAACGGCTGAACATGCTTTATCAAGGGCGCCGATAAATGCCTGATCTCCTTTGAATAGGTCTTTAATTAATTCTGAATATTTAGAATGTACAGCTAACATACTTTCAACGAACTGTGTATGAACCTAACGAAAAAATTCTTTAATGAATCTGATACTTTAATAAGTCATTATTAAAATGTATTCAGCTTTACATTTTCTCCTTGTAAGGAACCAATTGCCTGTAGACCTTCATTTGTAATATGCTGTGTAAATTTTTGTACAAGATGTACCAATCCTGATGGAAGTGGTCTTAGTAATGGATAGATAAGTGAAAGATCTTTCCTTCGTTCATTTTCTATCATTGCATCTACTTCTGTATGTAACCAAGCTACATGAGCTGCAACCATTTTTTCCTCACAACACTGTCTTACCTATATGTTATTAGATTTTTATAAAATATTTATAAACCTATTTATCACATTTTAATAAGAATAGAAATTGTAAAAGTTAGAGAAATACCTTAGGCACTGATGTGATATGAAGAAATTTATGCCCCCGTAATTCTTCTTGACTAAGACGCCAGGTAACTCTTTCCATATAACGAGTTACATCTGATTGTTGTAACAATTCTGAAGCTTCTCTTGAATAAAATTCTCCACTTTGTTTTAAAAAAGAACTTTCAAAAATTTCTTGATATAACTAAAACATCACATATTTAATGTGTTTTATTTAATTTAATTTTTTTGTATTGATTTAAATACTTAAATCAAAATTCAACTGAATTTTAATAAAATTTATAATAATTATATATTTAAATATTTATAAAATAAAATAAAAAAATTTATAAGTTATATAAATAATTTAATTGTAACATATGTAAACATTTAAATAAATATTTATAACTTACATGTAATTGACCTTTTGTTTTATATTCTTCAACTCTCACAAAACTTTCAATCACTCCACAAATAACATCTGTTGTAGCTCGTTGTGCTTCACCTAATCGATCTGCATGTATTCCTTCAAGAAGTAATGAGACAAGAGAATTTTTTAATGATTCTATCATTTTATTTTTCCATATATATAATCCCAGTTCACCAATTTCTTTTTGTTCTTGATATTCAGGTGAAGCTGCGGATGAAGTTCCATAAATAATTTCGGCTTCAGTAAGTTTTTGTTTTTTTATATGTTGTTGATTCAAATATAAATATAATTGATGGAGATAATTGATTCCTTGAGAATATTCCGTCCAAGCTCGATGATAAGCCTGTAATAAGCCATTTTCCCCTTGTAATTTAACTTTATCTAACAATTGAGTAACATGATTATCTAAAAAATTTTCTGTTTCACTGTATAATCGATCTGCTAATGGCTCAGGATATGCAACACATAGTGAATAAACATCACTATAAAATAAAATACTATATTGTATAAGCTTTATTTTTTTTTTTTTTTATTAATATATAAAAAGATTAAAATTTTTCATTAATATTTACCTAAATCTATCATTCCATGTTGCTCTTGGAACATCAGCTAATGTTATTACACCTTTAACAGTCTCTTGTAAAATATTCCATGTTTGACCAAAGTCTACTACTTTAGGTTTGAGTGACATTTCTTAAACTTTGTATTTTATTTCACTATAATGAATTATTTTGTCGTATAGTTTTATCAAATTTATAAATATTTAAATTATAATTTGAATCTATAATAAATTATAAAAACATACTTAATGTATAATTAAATTTAAATTTATACAAGATATCTATCTATGTATTAATTAATTTTTAACTTAAAATTTTATTTAATATAAAGTTTCCAATTAAATAATGAAAAATTTTTAAAAGTTTAATATTGTTGAAGGCTAATAAACAAAAAACATTTACAATATTAAAAGATAAAATTGAAAAATTTTTTTAAATAAAATAAAATAGTGGGATTAAAATTTTATTCAATTATAGTGAATAATAAGACTGCTTAAATTACTTGAAAAATGTTATCAATATTTAAGCAATACAATTTCACTAACACAATGCCAAAATTGAATTAAAAGATCAAACACCTCGTCCAGTAAATGTTAAATTTTTGTTCGATTTCAATCTCTAAGAGTAGAGTTACTCTTGAGCACTTATTTTTGGTACATCGCGAATCATTTTTTACTACACAATGCATGTCTTTTACAATTGTTTGTCCTAGCATTATATACACACATTCCGATTGTTTTTTAAAATATTTTTTATATTTAATAAAACTAGCAATTATCACTGTATATGTTTTAATTTTTTTCTTTTAGTTCAACAAAAAAATCTTGAATTTATTCTTTATATTCTTTCCTTCAATGACATTTAAATTTTACATTACATAGCCATGTTATTTTACCATTTTTAAGCTATTAACAAGTATCAATATGTATTTATATGAATTTTTTAATGAATGTGTTACACTGTGACTGGAATTAAAATCATAAAGTAAGATCAGAGATATAAAAGGAGATAAACTATCACCATAGCAGGATCCGGTTATATTTGTTAGTAAAGAATCTGGGTTACATGTTCGACCGATATAATCATTGTCGTTCTGGCGCTGTTCTTACATCCGAACCGTTTATCAAAACCTTTGCATAATAATTATTTTGCAATAACCTGTGTATAATAATTATTGTGCAAATATATATATATATATATATATATATATATATATATATATATATATATTTATTTATATAGTTCCTGTATTGAACTTAATAAGTATTATTTCATGTATTAACAAGACTAAGTGAAAATCATGTAAAATATTATATTTAAATATTATAATAATTTATTGTAATTTACATAACAAACATTTTTATATTATATTATTCATAAATATGTTAGATTATACTTTAGAGAAAAAAGCAAAATGATATGAAAATAAAATATTTTTAACAAATATTATACTTTGAAATTTATAAAATGTCTTAATAAATTATTATAAATTCTAAATTCTATTTTTAATTCTATTAAAGTTCATAAATTTACAAGCCAAGACAATTCAATCAAACATGCGCAGTAGAAGTTTAAACTTATTGGTTTAATACATATGGAGTTTGTAGTGTTTTAAAATAAATACATTATTTGAAGAAAATAATAAAATACCTTCATAAATGAAATATTAAAGTCATGAATATTTGTATGTGGTTTTATAGATTATAATTATATTCTTTTATGTAATAAATAGTAAAAATAAAGAGATGACTAATAATTCATTAGGTTTGGCTGAATTTTCGATACACAATGCGATGCCACTGCTGCAATGGCATAAATAATATACACTAACCTTATCATAAATTAAAACATCAATGAGAAAGTTGAGTTATTTTCTTGTAGGCTATATAGTTTGAACTTAAGATATAATTAGCCAAATTAATATTTGTACAAACTTTATTCAGTTATAAGCCTGTATCAATAAAAAATTATAGTATTAAAGAAATCTATGCATAAATAATAAAAATCATATCCTAAGAAAATAATCCTTTTTTAAAATAAATTACAATGAAAAAAGTATCCACTAACTTTATTGTCTACTTTGCTTTTCAATTTATTTTTACAGAAACTGTTATTATACTATATCATGTAAGAAATATAATATAGTTAGCAGTTGTAATAATTTCTTGTCATAAAAAATCGTTAGTAAAGTAATATTAAAACAAAAATTTATCATTTTCTAAACTACCCATGATTCAATAATAATTTAACAAATAAGATAATATATATGGATATTTATTGGATTATATAGGAGTTTTCCATTGTTTTTTTTAAGTATCTTTTTTGGCTTATGTACAAGTAATAAAAAAATAAGCAATTCTCTATTATTTAAACGAAAAAGATGCTTTTTCTGAATTCTATACGCCGATCTCATTTTGTATTCAGATTATATGAAATAACGTATCATATCAATTTAACAAGAAATTTATAGGATTACAAGTTGTAGAATCAAGATAGATCCACTTACCCATATTAAAAGCTTGCAGTCTTTATCACGACGAATATTAAAAACTTTATAGCAGCTAAGCGAAAATAATATTTTGAATGCTATATTGTACACCAGTTCGTATATTTGAACGAATAAAAATTATATTAAAAATAGTAAACTCTATGTCTTACTTAAAAAATTTGAGAAAATACACTTTAATTTTATTTTCAAAATAGTGTAGTTCAATTTTCTTTGTACCGAGTGATTTAGATTGTAAGAAACACCTTACTTTCGGGCTGTAAAAATGAGTTAAATTATAGTATTTTATTTTAATGATATAGAAATTGTAATAAATTAAAAGCAGGACTTCTCCACGTATTATTATCAAGTGTAAGTTAGTTCAGTATTAGTTTTATTAAACAGTAGCGTTTGAAACTGTATAATATGATATATCTCTTTTTTCCTCAACAATCTGGATAAAAATTTATCTGGTTTCCTAATTATATATTTAACTCTATCTATTAAATATTTATTTCATTTTTTCTTCATTTCTCTATCATTACTATGTTTGTTCTATTATATTCATTAGTATGTGTATTTTTTATTTACTATTATAGCTAAACTAATTCTATTCTTTTCTATTCTGTGATTTTATCTTTCTCTATAATTTGTATCATATTTTACGCCAGTCACATTATGTATATTATTTCTCTTTATTGTGTTTTGTGCACTCCTTTTTATTAAAACATCTACGAAATGTATGTAAGGACTGTAAGTATTACATCTCATTATTAGTACTATCACTTATTATTTTCCCAGTAAAACATTGTTTCTTTCCTACAGTTCCGAAAAAGAAAATAACGAAAAGAAAAAATATTTTTCGAAAGCAACTTCTGGGTTATCAAGCACTTATAAACAAGCTGCATCATCTTTCGATTACTGAAAAGGTTATTATTATTAAAAAAAAACGTAATGTTGTTGCTTGTGATTTAATTACTCTGTTTATTTAAATTTTAACAAATTTTGTTTGAGTTTTTAGTATAACGTAACGTTATTTTACATATTATAAGTCTTAGAAGTTCATTGGGATAGATCACACTAACATTATATCTGCTGCAAAATGTTATAGCATATAAAATGTCACAACTCATAAACTAAATGAAAAATTAATAATTTAGGATAAAGTAAGATTGAAGAAGAATGAAGCATTGCTTAGTTTGTTATTCACATGCTAATTAACTTATCATTATTAATTTAATATTATTAATTAACGTTTTATTATTTGTCTTGATTAATATCATAATATTCATCAACAAAATTTTCATAGAGAAATTTATGTATTAAAACCAAAAAAAAGAATTTAGAAAATAAAGAGTAGATAAGATCAGTCTAAAAAAAATTATTTTTTTTTTAGTCTTTCATGAATAAAAATGATTGAAAACTCATAAAAAGTAAGATATTATTTTTTCCTAACGAATATCGTTCAATTTAACTGAAAAATTAAATAATTAAAAAACCAAATTAAATTAAAAAACCAAGAAAGATAGTTTGAAACTGACTAAAAGATTGAATTTGGTTTTTCGCATTTTCGTAGAAACAGACCATCTTCGTATGTAAATATCACTTGAGAGAATTTACACGTATGTAATAAAATATTGTTATCGAATTTATTTCACTGTAATTTTAATATACCAATATTTTAAAAATAATTTAAGGAGCAACAATTATTTGTCTAAATTGACCTATATTTAACATTAACTTAAAAATTACTTTATGGAATTTGATTTTTTTAAATATATTTTTGCATTTGTACTGACAAAATTTAAGATAAAATATTGGATTCTACATCTTGTATGGTATAAAAAATTGTAAAATTATATTGTTTTAAAATACAATTGTCAAAGTAATTATTTAAAAATTTAATTTTTTGTTCGATATATATATTAAAATTAATTCATTATTTACTGAAATGGAATTAATATTTATTTTTATAATATTGAATTTTAATTGATTTATAATATTGAATATAATAGAATATAAAATTGAATGAATATTATTCTGAATTACACTGTTACATTCTCTTTGGTGCTAGGTGTTTAATAATGGGTTGTTCTAATTGTTGTACCTTTACTAATTATACAATTCTTTAATAGAATTTTACTTTTCATTATAATAACCTACTTTTATATACTTATAATTTTTACTTCTTCATAATAAACTTTTCGGTTTACCTTATTTTATTTATTTTATAATTTATATAAAATTAGATGTTGATTATCAGCTAGTAGCTGTCATCTACTTTATCTTTTACTAAATTTAAAAATCATTGTAAACGTTTTTGTTGTTAATATTGGTTTTATATGAAAAAACAGAATTTTAATAAATAACCATATAAAATCTAAAAAAAATTATAAATATTGTTTTCACAAATAGATCAATATATTAATGGAATAAATGTATTTATTATATATTTAGATTTTACGAAATTCAGACCAACTTAATTTTTTTATCTTCTATAGTTTTAATAATTCTTGTAAGTGTATTAACTAATCATTGAAAAATTGTTAGGTATAGAATTGAGATTTTTTCAATATAAAGATCTGCCTATCTATCATACAAAATTTAATGTTAAGCGTAAATCGAGCATGACTTAAGAAAAGACAATATATAGGTTTTATAATTGAGGAATGAGAAATCGTTTATATTTATTTATCTTTGTAATTTTTGACAATCTGCTTTGTATTCAACATTCAGATAAGAGTTAACTGATTATTATTCGCCTATTATAAATTTTGAAAGTATATTTTATTGTACATTTATAAAAAATATTTTTAAATTTCCTTTTTTTCTAATTACATTTATTTTAATTATATTTCAACGTCCTTTTTTTTTTAAATTAAATCGGACACTTTATATGTAATTAGTGTATTCGCGGATTACAATCTTAGTTTGTAGAATACGAAAAGTGAAATAATATATTATAGTATTAATTTATATATTTAACTAGTTTCCTATTTATTCGTTATTTGTTATTTTTTATGAAATAAAAGCTTATAAATTGCTTGTATCGAAAACGTTCAGGTTGTGCCTTTTCTTTTTTTAGAAACTTAGTTTAGTCATGCTTATGACAATTTAGCTTCATGTATGCTCATAAGTTTTTCTTAATGTTTTTTTTATTTCATGGCATATAAACAGTACTATATAATCGCATACTATATTTAAATAATCTAACTAGTTATATTAATTGAATAATATGGTAAGGCAAATAAAAAAATTAAAATATATTTTCTTAATAATATATTGAATATATTGATTCTCTAAATATATTTATTCTTTATGAAATTTGAAAAAAGGCTTAAAAGTCAAATAGTTAATTTAATGGATCAATGACTTTGCATAGTTCACATAAATCCAGTTATTAATAAAGAGTAAATAAAAGATCATGTTGACTTATTTTAAAATATTGTAGGTTATAAATTTACTTATATTATGTAGTAAAAGTTAAATTATTTGTATTTATATTGATTATTTTGAAAATTAGTTATTATTATTAGTTATTTAATTTTTTAGAGTATTTTAGCATATAATGGTGGTGCTATTATAGCAATGAAGGGAAAGAATTGTGTTGCCATAGCAGCTGATCGTAGATTTGGTATTAAAGCACAAACAATATCTTGTGATTTCCAAAAAATATATGAAATGGGACCTTATTTATATCTTGGTCTTCCTGGACTTGCAACTGATAGTCAGACTGTTATGGAAAGGTTACGATTTAGATTAAATTTGTATGAATTAAAAGAAAATAGAAAAATTCATCCTAAAACTTTTGGTTCAATGATTTCAAATCTGTTATATGAAAAAAGATTTGGTCCATACTTTGTGGAACCTGTAGTTGCAGGGTTAGATCCTGAAACTTTTGAACCTTTTATTTGTAATATGGATTTGATAGGATGTTTAAATTTGCCAGAAGATTTTGTCGTTGGTGGTACCTGCTCAGAACAATTGTATGGTATGTGTGAAGCAGTGTACGAGTCTAATTTACAAGCAGATGATCTTTTTGAAACTATTAGTCAAGCAATGGTTAATGCCTGTGACAGAGATGCTATTTCTGGCTGGGGTGCTATTGTTTATATGATGTTAGTATTTATTTGTAATAAGGAATATCAATTTGTATTTTCATTTAAATGTTGTTTTTGTTTGTAGAGAAAAGGATAAAGTTACATCAAGAACTATTAAAACTCGTATGGATTAATTATATCTTTTATTATAATAACATTTTATTGTAATAATATTGTATATAGAAATTTGTTATTTATATGAAATATAAAATGTTCAATTGCATTTTGTAAAATATTTGTAATAAATTTCTTTCACAAAATATTTTATTTAGTAATATGCTTTTTGTTAATTTTATTTATTCTTTGGTCTATTGATTATTCTTTTTTTTTATACAAATATGTAGAGAATAAATATAAATAAAATATAGAATTATATTTGTCAAATGAGCAAATTAATTATATAAAATTTAATGTGTATTTCATTAATTCATATAAAAATGTGTATACTCAATATTTGTACAATAAATTATTCTTTTTTTTAAAGAATTCAATATTATATATAGTAGCTATTAATAATAAGATTAATATCATTATTAATTTAAGTTAAATTTAATTTTATTATTAATTTTTTATAAAAAAATAAATAAACAAGATATTAAAAGATCAATTTTTTTTTATATCAATAAAAACAGTCTAAACATTTATACATCTGGAAGATTTGTGTAAAGATATTAATAATAATAAAAACAAAAAGTGTGAGTAAATGAATATAAAAAATTTTAACAATATAAATGTTTATTTTACATAAAGTAATTTATAAAATTCGAAATCCTATTTTTTTCAAAAAACATTTATGATAAATGAATGCTTACAAATGTGCAGCATATAAAAAATAAATTATTAAAAATTTGTTTATTTAATTTATTAAAAAATGTGTGATGCTTCTGAAAAATGTTTTTTTTTAATTTTTTATTTATAAACTTGCAACATATTTCCTTCAATACTGTTCAATGGAAAAGTACAATCTTTGCAAATTGTAATGATAGTTGTATATTTTTATTTAATTACATATGAATTTATTTTATGTTTCTTCATATAATTTAGTAGCATTTATTTCTATAGTTTAATTTTAAAGAAAATGTAGGTTAATGAAACAAAATTGTGGTCACGTTTGATTTTCAATATTTGTGATTGCGAGTTGAAAAGAATAAATGTTATTTTATTCGATCTATGTCATTTTGTTACATGCTTGAAAATCATTAAATGAATCTGTTTTGTTCATAGTAATTATTATTATGTAATAAATTATCTTTCATTTATATTATTTTATAAGTTTAAATAACTTGATAGATATTTGATATTAAACATTCTTTAGTAGAGGTATATGTTACTAAAATAATATACAAATATACTGAGTTATTATATTGCTAAAATTAAAGATGTATGTTAAAGTTAAAATTACAATTGATGAATTAGTAAACGATTGATAACTTGTTTATTACAATTAAAAAATTTTGCTACTTGAATTATAAATTGTGTTTAAAATTTTTAAGTTTAATTCTAAAAATAAATTAAGCATTTTAATCATTTTTATTTATTCATTAAATTCAATGCAAAAGAAATACAAATCTATTTACAGTAGCATGATGATATACATACTGATTAATATAAATAATTAAGGCTTCATATATATATATATATATATATATATATGACTAAATTAATTGTTCTTTTGAAAAAATTAATTTAAAAATATGATATAGCCTTATAAAAAAGATACAATATAGATAAGTATAAAGTTTTCACAAAAAATGTACATAGTAAATTTTATTATTTTATATAGACTGCTGATTGATATTTTAAAGATTCTATGATTTATTTTTATGCGTTATGATCTATAAAATTTTTTAATTGTTGCAGCTTTAAAAAGTATAGGTCATTTAATAAAGTCAAGATGCGAAACTGCTGTATGAATTGCTGTATGTAAAGATGTTTCCATATTACTGTTTATCAAAAATTCAAGTCTTTCAATGTAAGAATCAATATTTTGTAATGTTGCTCCTTCGTGTATATCTAGTAATAGAAAATAAAAATGTGCAGTAAATTTGTAAAAATAAAATCATATTATATTTTCTTTATTTTGTATGATTACATAGTAATGATTTTTTTGTATAAAGTAAATAAATATAGACGTAATACTATAATTATTCAAAAATTTTCATATAAATTTTATAAGAAAATTGTACCTGCTAAAGGTATATTTGAAAAAGAAGAAACTAGATGACATCTTAAAGTTTCTAAATGCCGCTGTAATGCTTGATTAGTTATCTGCTGATGAGCTGTCTCAGTTTCCAAACAGTTAACTGCGGTGTGTAAGCTATCTACATGTCGTTGTAAAACAGCATTTTGTGATTCATAATCTACTGTTGCTTTACGTAATTGCCTTAATTCTGTTTCACAGGCTGCAAAGAAAATAAATATATATTGATAAAATAAATTATTTTAATAAGTAGCAAACTATAAATTTGACATGTACCTTTATTATGATCCAAAAATTCTTCTGTAAAAATTGGAATATCAATTGTTACAGAATCATCATTTTTATCTTGTTGAGATTCCTTAAATTTATTGAAAATATTTTTATTAAAAAAATAAAATAAAAATATAGATATAAAAATTAAATTTAAATCAAAAACAGTACATGTTCTGAAATAGTTGAAGTTAAAGTTGTGTTTGCTGTAGACGTATTAGTAATAATGTTAGCAGTATCAATTCCATTTCTTTCTTTTTTTAGTTCATTTTGTTTTTCAGTAGACTGTTTCTCTAAAAATGTTCGATAAGCTTCAGTTTGCTTATAATCATTAAATTCTCTATTATATCGTTCTTTATCTAGTTCAGCAGCATCCAGATAAAGCTGAAAAGTAGATTATTTGTAAAAGATATTTATTAATTTTTCCATAAATAAGTTAATTTTTTTAACTTGTTTTTGATCTATTGGTAACATATTCCATTCAGTAGCTAGTTGTTTTGTAATTTCAGAAAATGGCATTGTAGGATTTTCACTTCTAACTTTTTCTCTTCGATCGTTCAAAAACCTTAAAAAGATTTATATTACTTATTTCTGAATAAATTATTAAGATTTTATATACAGATAAAATTAATAAATGAAAATAAGAAATTAAATACTTTTAATTACCGAAAATAACCAGTGAGTGGTTGTTTAGGTGCAGTAGCGTCTCTTGGAAATTTTTTTCGCTTTTTTGGCCTATTTGAATTGTGTGTATTAGAACTACTTGAGCCCTTTTTAAGTATATTGTTTTCTTGATGAGGCTCAGATTTTTCATTTGAAATAGTTAAAGATTTATGGTCTAATATATAATAAAAATTTTAATATAAAAAATTTTTGTCTTAATTAAATAAATATAAAATAATATGGCTTACTAGATAAATCTTCTATTTTGCCATTTAAATTTGAATATGATGGTCCAGTTTTATTTTCATTAATATTTGTAATTGTATTTACATTCATTTTGAAAGATTATGTATATATATATATAGCATAAAAATGGATATGAATAAAATATGTATAAAATTTGTTATTCCACAAAATATTTTATATAAAATCAAATAGTATTAAGTTATTTACTGAACAATTTATAAATGACTAATACACTGCACGTCACTTTTCAATTAGCTTAAAAATCTTACATTATTTCTGTTTTAAAAAATTATTTTTATTATTCGTGTAAGAAATTATACGCTAATGAAAATAGAAATTTTATAGGTTAAGATCAACTCCTACTGCTTTAATCATTGCTTTTATTCTGTGAAGAGGAACGTTTGTATATCATTTATAGCAGCAAATAATATATTTAATATATATAACATAATTTTTTAATAAATGCATTGCATTCAGGAATTCTTAAAAAAATTATTAATACGTATAAAAACAGAAGAGTATATTAAAACGTTTGTATAAGTATGAAAATAAAATCTTTTTTTTTTTAAATCGTGATTTTCAGCGAGTATTTGAAGCCCACTTAAAATTGATAATAGTAGAACAGAATTAGAAACTACTGCAAAGACAAATAGAAAGGGTATAAAATAAGTAGAGGAGAGAGAGAGAGAGAGAGAGAGAGAGAGAGAGAGAGAGTGGCAGAGCGAAAGAAGGGTGGGTATAAGATGATAAGAAGTAAATAGTTAAAAAAAAAGTTATTAAAAAAAAAAACTATATTTTAATAGTATACATTATTAAGCAGTTTTAATATTTAATTATATACATTAGTAAGTAAATATACATTTTGAACATAATATCAATTATAATAATAACCAAAATCATGTGTGATCATTTTTAAATAAGAAAGGATAAAATTTGACTAAAAAACAATATTTTAACATTTTTACATATGTAACTCTATTTATGAACCTTGATTTTGCATGTGAATAATTTTTATATAGAAGACACTAAGTAAAAAAGCTATTGTATTTATTGTATTTTATTTTAATTTATTTATTTACAGAAATTTTTTTTCGTAATACATAAGCTTAATTTAATTCCTTTATATCGCATATGCATTACATATATATGTATCATGTATTATATTATATTATATTACATAAATTGTATACGTCAATTAATGGAATTAGCATTAGTTATAATGTAGATAATTTTTCTAATAATAATTAATATGGCTACATATAATTTGATAGCTTAGTACCACATAAAAGTCATGAGTATTAATTATTGGTGGGATTAACAACCGTTCCAATGCAAAGGGTCATTCCCAATCGGTCGTTAACAATTTTAAATAAAAATGGCCTATCGGCCACAAATACCCAGAGTTTAAGTTTCGAATTTGAAGACGATGAAAATGGTTTTTTTCTTGGAGCTAAAAAATAAATAATTATCGCTTAATTTCATTTTATTTAATATAAGTAAAATTAGTCTGTAAACAATTTCTAATATAAAATTATATTTTTTATCGTATAAATAACTTAACAACTTATTTAAAATTCTGAATATTAAATGAAAATATATAAACGTATGTAACTTTTTTTTCAAATTTAAAGATATTAAAAATTAATAAAATTTATGAAATATACATATATTTTTTAGAATAAGTAACAAGTTAAACAAAAAGCACTACCTACATTTGACGATAATTATTTGAACTTTGAATAATAATTTTGCATCATGGATTTATTTTTTTCATTATACAATTAAGTAAATATTAGTATATATAGAAATATAAGATAAAAAAGTATCAGGTAAAAAAGTTAGTAAAACGTATATTTAATGTTTAATGAATTCAATATATTTATTTAAAATTAATTATAATAAATATAATATAGGTAATAAAATTTTTATTATCCTTCTCTTATTTATTAATGGATTAACACAATAATCACATCATCATGTGATTTGCATTGATTATTGTTATAAAATAGGTGTACACAAATTTTAATTTGTTTAATATTAGTCAATTGGAAATTCAAATTCACTTGATTTTGAAGAATTTTTATTTTATTTTTAAAAATTGGAAAATTTCATACGGAACAAAAGTAATTTTTCAAATTATAAAATACTTGTTTCGTATACTCTACAAGAAATACTGAGTTCATTAATTTATAAATTAATTTGCTTTTGTAAATAAAGAAAGGTTACATAGATTAATTACATTTCTTTAATTACACAATTGGTATTGTTATAGATAATTATAATTATAGATCTTAATCATTTATTAGGTGGAAATCTAATAGTCTTAAATTTTTTTATAAAAATTGTAAAAAAGTGTTTAAATATGTTTTTTATTAATGTTTATTACACGAATGTTTATATTTTTACTTCACATACATTGTGTAAGCTGCATAGCGTGTAGAATTGTAGATAAAAATGTACTTAACAATGAGTGGAAAATTGTGTAATTGAATAAATTTTTGAAATAATTAGATTTGAAAATTAATAATAGATTTAAAATAATTTTTTCTGTGAATAATTATTTTTTTAAAAATCTTCAAATAAAGATTATAAATGTTTTATGATATAAATAAGATCATTCTAAAACTGAAAACATCTTATATTTTATGACTTTATTTACAGTAGATTAAAAATATATTAGCATGTTTCTTTAATGCTTTCTTAATAGAAACTATTTAATTTTAGTTCCTTTTAATCATATAAAAATGCAACTGGAACATGACAGAGCACATTCAGTTTATATAAGTTTTAAAACTTTTTTTTATTTAAATTAAGTGAAACAATCATAATTAATTAAAAGTTAGCGATGTCAAGTAATTTAGTTTTAATGCTAGTATACTATAAAAATAACATTATTTTAAAATAGTTCTCAAAATTAAATTTTATTTTTGAAAATATGTAAAGTACTTGATGAATTTGTAATGATTCAAAAATGTATAAAAATTATAAAGTATATAAATTAAATAATACTGAAATAATTTATAAAAGCTGTATTCATAATAAAATATTTCTTTATCGATAATAAATAATGAATAGTATTCTTTTCAAATTTTTTAACAAAGAGCAAGATTATTAGAAAATGAATATCTATGCAACTCATGTGAGAATAGAGATATGTAATAAACATATTGATTTACGCCTTGTATATTTATATTTTATTATAAAACTTTGTATTATTATTAAATATTTTAAATATTTTTTACTGTATATTAATAAGAAGTAAAAGAAATATTAAATTATTTATAGAATTCAGAGTCTTCTAAACTTCATACAATTATAAAAGTAAAATAATTATAAAAGCGAAACATAGTCATATTTAAGATAGAATGCAAAAGAGAAGTTAAACATAATAATGAAATTATGGTTAACTTACTTGAATTTGAGCCTTCATTACCGTCTTCATTTACATCAATAAAAGTTTTTTGAACTATTTTGTTTACTCGGACTGGTTCATTGGTTATGCCTATGAAGTTTGCATTATCTTGAAACATTTCAGTCATGCCCAACTAAAATTTTAATTTATAAATTCTATTCTTTATACTTTATTAAGATATTAGATATAACTTTTATCTATTTCACCTAAATAATTAAATAAATGTTTTTATAAAATTCTGTATAACATATTCAATTCAATAATTTGTTTAATTTTTTGTAAAACTTAACATATTTTAATTATTTGACACAATTCTTTTATTAAAAAAAAAAATGACTTTGCTAAACTATAATTCAATGTTTTTTAATAAAAAAATTCAATGATATAGCTTTAGTTAGTAAAATAAATATTATTTATAATTTTCTTTACAGAATTAGTTTATTATTAAAAATATGGATATAATCTTTTCTTCATATCCTAACTTTTCATTTTAAATTATTATTCATTATTGTTTCATAAAAATAAAGATGTTAAAAAATTCAATAATAAAAGAATTCAGAATAATTTTGATTTTAAAAATATACAGTTTTATTTTTTTATCATATGTTATTATTTTCTTTAATTAAAAAAATTATATATTATATAAAAATAAATAAATTTAATCATTTTTTAAAAGGAAATGTTTAATTATATATCAATAATTGATACAATATTTAACCACGAAAAAAAGTAATTTAAGCTTTTAAAATGAATATTACTTAACCAATAATAATTAAAAATAATTCTCTAAATAAAATAAGAAGTGATATGTTTACATTGCCAATGAAAACATTATTTAAATTAAAAAACGTTAAAATAAAAAATAAGCAAAACTTAAAGGCTATTCTAGCAGACAGTTTAATCTGATGTTTAATAGAAAAATGGTTCTCATGCATTAATTAAAATCAGTATATTTTTGTTTTATTTTAGCGATTATATAAGTAAAAGTATTCTTATTAGGATAATTTATACTTGTTCAAGGGGTTTTTTCATGTCTATAGAACTTTGAATCCTGAATTTCGGTAAGTACACGTGTATATCTTGTAAAGAGCCAGATTCAAAAAGTCGAGTACGATTGAAGGACTCTAGATTTTCTATTATACTCTGCAAGCCGTCTATTTCATTTGGTATTATGATAATCATTTTTAAATCAGTATTCTGAATGTTAGTGCAAAAAATAAATCTTAGTACTGAATTGTATTTTTGTTTTTGTTTTTGGTGTGCTCCTCATACCTCGAATGGGAGTTCAATGAATTCAGCTTTTAGGTCAAGAAGCTCGCCGTAAACATAATAGTCGGCACTGAACATCGTCGGTACTTGTTCCTGAATATTCCAATCAATGTTAAAATTTCTATTTTTAGTCGAACACTTTTCAAAACGACGTGCCCATTTTCCCTTAAAATAGACAGTATTCACGAGGAATAACCGAGTATCCGGAGTCATTTCACCTAAGTAGATAAATTATTTTTTACAATTTTTTTCGGTTAGACAAATATTAAAAATTTATACATTTACTTTGCTAAATTAAAATTATAATAACAATTATTATCTATAATGTCATGATTTATAGTATAAAAAGTTATTAATATAGTTAATAATTATGATAATAAAATTATTTACATTTTATTTTAAAAAATTAGATTTTTATCCAATATATAAAGCATATATAGTACTTAATTTAATATTAAATAAATATAACATAAAACTGTTATTTATAATCTCGCTAGAAATGTTTACCTTTTGTACTCCTTGGTTTATGACAATAAATTAGCAGCAAATAATATATTTATTACAATACAATTTGTATTTCTACTAATTAAAATATTTTCTTTTATGACTTGTAACAAACATTTTCGATAATAAAAATCTAATAGAATTAAGTGAAAACTATTTTACTTTGACCTTACCTATGTTAATAACATTGCGAATCGCATGATCTGTATCCTGTTCAGCCCATTCATTCATGAATCTAGTGGATAATTCAGAATACCTGGTATCAATTATAGAGGGTTCATAGTAAAATAATTTTGTGGTTATTTGCTTATATTCATTTCTCACTTTAGATCTTCTATCTATGTATATTTTATTAGCAAGCTTGAATGTCACTTTCTCCAATCTCTAAGCAAATATTCAATTTCTATTATTTTTTTAAAAACAATCACATATATGATTTAATTATATTAAAACAAATTGCATTATAAATATATGCAATTATAAGTCTAATTGCAATATAGATAATTAAATTTGTACATTGTATTATTATTTGTTTCAAAATATTTCATCGAATTGTTAAACATTTTCCGAACTTCCAAGGATTATTTTTAACTAAAATAAAAAATTGCATTTAATTAAGTTTTATAAATTATGATTCAAACATAAAGCATTTAAAAATAGAATAAATACATTTTTGAGTATGTTAATGAAACAAGTATTAAAAAGTCAGCGATAAAACTGAGCACATATTTAATTGTATAAATCATTTTTTTTTTGTTTAAACATAATAGACGTTATAATAAATTTTTATGATATTTAATATTATAGTTAAATAAATAAAATAAATACTGTTTATATATGTATAGTTAATTAATATATCCAAAATAAACGTTTATAAGTACCAGAAAATTTTTTTTTAATTTAAATTTTCAAATTTAAAATATTTGATTCATTATAAGGGAAACTTAAAAAGGATAATTTATTTATAGTTATATTTAAATACTTCGCTGTTTTTAAATAAAAATTCTCTATTTATATGTTAAATAAATATTGTTGAAACAATTGCCAGTAATTTGCATAGATCATGAACGTAATAACAGTCTAATAATAAACGTCAGATGAAGTTCATTTATGCTTGAGAATAACATTAGAAACTTTCTTATAATTGATAACTTTAGTTTATATATACATCATATAAAAGTTTTATTTATTAATGATAATAATATATTTAAAAATGATATAACAGCCTTTTGAAATAAAAAACTCAAGACATTATTCCAATTATATTTTAATTGTAAAATTCAAACATTTATGGTTGGAAAAATTAATTTTTGTTACCACTTTAATAAATATCAATAAAAGTAATGTACGTTCAGATAAACATGGAGCTCTTCAAAAGCTTGATGAGTTAGGTCTTCATTTACAGGCAAATGAAGAAATTCTTGCAGCTGCATAGAAGTTCTGCCAGCGGCGCCATATGCCACCATCGATAGGCCAATGTGTGCATTCACAGGCGACGCAAGAACATTTTTGTTCTTGTCTACTACTTTCTGAAAAATATTGATTGATAATAAGAATTCTTCAATTGAGTTGATATTTGAATAATCGAAATGTCTAGATTATATAGTAATTTAAGAAACCAAATGAAAGGAAAATAATATATAAAAAATGTTTAAAGCATTTTATGCACTACAATACATAATTAAATTAATGTTATTTTATAGTCCGATCCTCGGGTACAATATTTACATGTTTTTCTTTATATAACTATATGTTGAATATTACATAAGATAAATATATATTTATGTTAACATTTAAATTTAAATAATTACGTCCTGAATTATATTTTTGTATACAAAATTTAATTCAATATAAATTTACTAAATTAGTTCAATATAAAACAATAAATTCAACTCATTTATACATGTTAAAATAATGATTCCAGCTTTTAAAATTTAATACATAATGCAAATTTATTACATATATCTATTGTGCAAATTTTCATCATAAAATGTTCTATTTTAATATCAGTTCAGAAAAAGTGGAATTGATTACTATGTGTAAAAATTTTGAATAATATATTAAATATACAGGGAAAAAATTTATACAAACTTTAAAAAAATTATTCGAAAATATTTTGATACTTTCAATCAATTCATTGAACGGATGAACTGTTTGGACACATGGCATACATAAATTTAGCGCCAAAATAATTATTACTGTAACATAAAAATAACAATATTAGTATCATGATATAATATGTATGCGATTATTATTATCATTTCTACTGCTGTATTGGCAATAAGTTATTTTTCTACCTTTTAAATACGCTTAAACCCTTTAATAGTTCATAGTTATTTTAAATTTGAAACGCATTTCGTAATAGAAATATTGTTGTTAGTAAAATTTCATTATTAAAATATTATACATTCACATTTTTTCTAAAATTGTGTAGCTTTTATTTAATATAAATAAAAAGAATTACTTAATTATATTCGTTTAATTTTGTAAATATGTTATAATATGAGCAGAATTAAATATTATACATGACTGAGTACAATATTAACATTATAAGTTTTAGAAGAAAATACTAATTTTTAAGAAAATTATAATTAAATTCAGTAACAATTAAAATTAAGTATGAAAAATTATTTTATTACTAAAATAAAAGTGTAAGAAAATTTATTTATGACTTTATTTATTATTCACTATTTTATCAAGAATTATAATAATATAATTTATTTTATTAAAATTTGAATATACAATGATATATGCTTTTAATCAAGCATAATATTCTAAAGAATGTATATAATATAGTATGTAAATAATATAAAATTATTAATAAAAGTGTTATTGTTAAGATATAATTACATATTTAATATTAGGCTACGTTCAATTTATTAAGACGGTAAAAATTAATTTTATCAGTTTTGATTGCATCATAATATAATAATATAAAAATATTCAATGTATCATAATAATGATACGATAAATAAAAAATCTTTTATAGAATGGATTGGATCTATAAATTAAAAATTACACTGTATTATACTCAATATAAAAAATGAATGTACTACAAACATACACTCTAAAGTAAAAGTATTTATTATTTATGATATAATTTATTTATATTTTACGTTTTTTTTATTAAATATTATTATTAACTTTATTTGATATATTTATTGATGTTATTAGTAATAATATTGAATCGGATGTTATTATTTTTCTGTCGAAAAAAATAAAATAGAAAAATCTACCTAGAAATTAAATTTAATTAAATTAAATTAATTAAATTTACAGACAAATCGCATCAAATTAGATATAGATAAAATTAAGAAAAGTAACAGTTGCTTAGAATATAATTTCAGTTTATTTTGTATGTTAACAAAAATATAATTCCATAAACATAATCTAACATAACATAACTTAACATAAAATATTTTAAAATAATTAATTATTTATGAGCGTACATAAATATTTATTTACGATAAATGCCGACATAATAAACGATCTTTCTATATTGTAGCATTTTTTATATTACGTATTTTTAATAAACACTTAAAATTTACCACATATTAAATATTTACTTTAAACGAATGTCTAAATTATAACACCGAAAATTTTACATTATTTCTGCGGAAAAGAACAATAATAAAATAAAACATTTCTACAATATGTTTATGAAGGTAATTACGGATAAATTTATACGATAAACATTTTATACGATATACAATTATTTAAAAAAAGAATTTATATCATGAAAATTTAAAAAATTAATAAAATAAAATTAGATAAATATAGTGTAAGTGTTAAAGCTACTTTTGTTCTACAATTCTACCGCTTTTTGCTTTTATATTATTCGCTTTTATCTTTTGAATATATTATAAATGGTCAAATGGGAGAACACAATTAAAAAATAAATCTCAAATAAGAAATTTCATAAAAATCATAAAAATTGCATTAAAAGAACATTATTACTTTCGCATCTATTTATTTAAGAATTATGTGGCTCTGTTGCTTATACTTTGTTTAATTTTAAAAAATGATATAACACAATAAAACAATTTTTATTTAAACATTTAAAATATAGAATATATATTTCATAAACATAAATTATATCTTTACAAAAATTTTTTTTAATGATAATAGAGTTACTTTAATTGCGTATGTGTGTCTGTATATATATATAATAAGTAATTATAATTGTAAAAAAGTAATTGCTTACATGAATCCATAGTGAAGCAAGCCTCAAATTTTGACACCTATCATTCCACCTATCCAACAGAATTGTAATTGAATACAAAGCAGCGAATCGATCGCTATCTATATAAAGTTACCATCATTAAGAAAGGTATATTTGCTAGTGTATACATATTATTTGCTTAGTTGTCTTGAATTAGAGATTAGTAATGAATGATAAATATTATAATGCATACTGTTAATTTTTAACATCGATTATTTTGTTTAACAAATTATACACTTCTCAATATTTTTTCCTTATTCAGAGTATTATATATTTTTTAAATACGAGTTAGGAAAAGAATTATGTATAATAAGACCCATGCAAGTTAATAATTTTTTATTTCGTTATAATGAAAACGTACTTTGAATGAATGATATTTCATATTAAATAAACTGAGCAGAATGAAAAAAAATTTAATATTGCTTGACATACAATAAAAATTATTTGTATTTAAGACTTTGTTAATACATCAATATAAACGTAAGATACTCAGATTTACTCAATAACTCATGCAAATATGTTATTCAATTATTTTGTTAAGTATTTTATAAAGCACAAAAAATAAACATAATAAATGTAGCAATATTTTATCTAAGAAAATATTTTTCAGTTAATAACGTCATTAATGACTGAAGTAAAATAATCAGAAGTAAAAAATTTCTTTAATTATAATAAGCAAATATATCACTAAAACTGTATTTAAGTTTTTTTAATATACTCTTAATTTCGTAATGTTTTTCAAGATTCAAGAAAACTTAGTTTCCAGACTGCAAATATTCGAAGTTTTTTTTATTTAGTAAAGATTTATTATAATTAATTAGTAAAAATAACAATAATATATATATTTCAAATTATTTTCAAATAAAATATTATTTACAATCGATTTTTATTATCGTTTTCATGACTTGTCTCACTATGTATTTTATAAAGTATTGAATTATAAATTGTTATATATTTAAATTTAGTTCAGTGAGCTTATTTCAAAAGAACAGTTATTTATATTATCATTATTAATTATATTTATTACAAAATGTTCTTTTAATTTATATGAAATATTTTTTTTTTAAACATCCATTATTTATTAGATTCTTATCAAAGTATTCAGTAAAATTGAAGGAATATATTTTATTTATACTATATTTCTTTCAATTATTTCGCACAATGATATTTTTCTTTTTATATATTATTTTCGGCAATTCAACATTTAAATCCATTTTATTCACTTTTATTTGAAGCATTTGATAGGTATGTAAATATTGAAAAATAGTTTTAATATAAATTCTTTTTGTTGATTGACAAACATAATGCTTACTTTCATATTAAATTTCAAAATAAATATTTCTTTATTAACAGTAATTTTGTAGGTTTTACATAATTATTTTTCATAGTATCAATAATGTTTCTGTCATATTAATAACTTGGTTATTATATTTTATACAATTAATATTTTTTGTCTGTAAACATTCAAAATTGAATAAGTAGATATAAAAATGTTATAATTTTATTTAAGAATATATTTTATTTTATTATGCATACTCAATATTGTATTTAAATTAATAGATTATTCAAGAATAAAAATTTATTTAGTATTAGTATTTCATAAAATTTTGTATTGTATATTATTTGCCATGTGGTTCATTTCTAATTATTTTATTTTTATTACAAGTTTTTAAATAATTAAAATTATAAATTATAAATTTGTCTTTTGATGAGATTTTTAATTTATGGTCAGTATCCTTACACTATTAATAAAATTTATAGAGGAGTTATATATAAAACCGAATATGATTTCATAAATGCAAACACATTAAAATGTACCTATATATGAAAAATAAGTGAACAAAAACTTGTCTGTATGAAAAGCAAGGTAACCAGATAATAGTCAATAAATGAGTCTCCATGCGCTTAACGGAAATGTAACACTTGTATAAAAGTTATATATATATGACATATACTTTTAATAAAATTAATTTCTTGTTTTCGTTATGATCCATATACTATGTTTTCATTATCAAAACTTCATAATATAAAAATATAGGAATGTATCTAATTGATAAAAAATCTAAAATTATTGTTTTATTAAAGATCTCTTAAAATTATATTTTGTATGAATTTTATGAATAGTTTGTAACTGATACCAGAGAGATCTATAATGAACGATGAATTTTTTGAAAATTTTAGTAGTTCTAAATATTTTCATCGTTAATAAAAAATCTCTTTAATAGTATTCTATTATTTTTAAAAATGTTAAAATTTATTTGAACCAAACTCAACTTTATATTTACGTCATATATTAAATTAAACTACGTACATTAAATTAACTTATCTATTTATAATCTATATATAAAACGAAAATTTTCTGTATTATATTAAATATTAAATATAGCTCTTAATTATAAAGAGTTACTGTTGTAATAGATCCTCGGCATTTTACTGACTATTTACAAATATATTAAATATATGATGGATGACTATATATTTGGTCTATAAATACAAATTTTTTAATTAATTCGATTATTAATCATAAATTTACAATTGTATTTGGGAAAGCAAATTTTTCCTGAAATTGCAATTTTAAACAAAGATTAGTTATTCAAATAACAAATAAAACAATTATTAGACATAGATTATTAAAACATCAGAGACATTTTATGTATGAAAAAAAACATATAATCCGTGATCTTGGCATATTTTAAAGAAGAATTTAAAATAATAATTAAAATATCGCAAATAAATTTTGTTTAATTATTAATTGTCTAAATTGTAGATTTTAAGAATATCAAAAAATTTTCAATTTAAATTAATATGTTAATATATGATCATTCTATTTAACTCATTGTAATATTAGACCCATTTAAAATTTGTAATAATTTTCAATTACAATGGTGTATATTATAGAATAAATTATTTATTTTGTGAAAAAACATTCTACTAATTAAAAAATTTACATGATCAATTTATAATTTTCATTAAAGGTTCGTAAAATGCGTAAATGCTAAATTATGTTGCAATATGTAATATTTTATGAAAGCTCTAATATGTTCTGTAATATAATATTTATAATACACACATCAAAATCATAGTATTTATTTCGTCTGATATACACAGGAATCTTTTATTACCATAAAAAATACATACATATATATATATATATTAAAATATTTTTATACACACAGATAATTATTATGTAAGAAATAATTAAGAAAGTGAATTAAGGAATTTAAAATACTAAAACTGTAATGTTTAAAATAACAAATATTTACTTAAGAATTAACATATTTCGATATGAAATTTCGATTCAGGGATAAATATGTAAAATTAGTAAGTAAAATTTATTAAATATAGTAATAATTTCATAAGACTATTGAGATATTTTAACACTATAATAATATCATAAGAAGTAAAAAAATTAAAATACATTCTTTATATTATAATATCTTGTAATATTTTATATAATTGTTTATAAAAGATTAACATTTTTAAGAAACATTTTCATTTATTTTAATTTTAAATGAATAATTTTAAAAGGTTGATCAATTATGTCGTAAACTAGTGCAAAGAAAGATAGAAATATTTTCGTAAGAATATATTTTATAATAATCGATGAAATTAGGACTTATTATCAATTTGAATATATGAAAAAATTAATTGATGGAGGTGATAATATCTATCTACTATAATAATATGGTAATACAAATACTAATTTAAGAATATTATGAATTATTATAAATTAAAATTAATAAATAAAAATAAATAAAAATTATTATAAAAATAAAATATCTGTTATAATAAATTTATATATATTAATTATACATATATTTTGTTTCAAGTAGCCTTAAAAAATGTTAGTTATCTCAACATTTTTCTTATTCTTTATTCTAAAATTTGATCAATACATATAATTCTTAATAAAATGAGTATTATTTGTTATCTTATATCTCATTTAGGGGATGATTACTTTTTTTATTAATGTTATCCTTTTATTTCTAAATTAATTGAAGGAAAACATGTTTAATTCAACTGTTAAATATATGTCAGTATAAAAAAATTAATAAGTAGAGCAGTATTGTTATACGAATGTTTTAGGATTGATTTTTGATATGATCATTTACAATTTTTACTAAACAACCAATTTTAAATTTGCATCATTGATGATATACTCATGCCTTCCTTGAATCTCACTGTATTAACTGATATATCACTGATATGTAACTGATATAATTGTAATTAATCGTTCCCAAATAACTACAAACTTTTTCTTTGTTATCGAAATTATTTTTTGAATGCATTGTAAATTTTGTAATGCAATTACAATTATTTATATATATATTTTAAATTACATTCAATTTACTTAAAATTTATAATTTAGAATTAAAAGGTTAAATTTTTTAATGAATGTTTTTTTTATAATTTTATTTAGTATTCTAAGTTTCTATTCAATTATTGTAGTGAACCATAATCCATAATTATTATATATTAAAGTTTGTTCTGGATAGTATCTGGACATGGTGATCATTCCTTTTCTGTTGTAACAGCTGTTTTGAGAACTTGTTTTACACTTATTTTTAGAAACTTTATATTTTTCGTAATAGAAAATTATATTTCAAGTAAACAAGTTCATGTAAAAACATACTTTTACAGGTATATATGAATCTGTATATATACATATAAAATTATATAAAAATAAATCGTATAATTAGATACAGACATTAAAAATATTCTTGTACAAACTGATCATTAGAATTCATAATTATTTATTATTAATACTTAATTAAAATTCATTTCCCTTTTCAATATTTATATTTGTAACTATGCAATATTTTATACAATAAACCTGTGTAATAATCTTATATTTATTATTTTCTTTTTTATTTATTATTATTCTATTTAAATACATCTTTTTGATTTCTTTAACTTAAGTCTAATTTTAAGTTAAAAAAGAATCCGATTGTGACGGAATTTGTTGTTGTTTTATGAGGATATTTTTATAAAAATTATAAGACTGTCATTTGTAGAGCTTTAATAGAAGTACCTATTCAACGTGTAATTATGATCTATAATTTTAATTCATATCAATCTATAAATAGTTGATCTTCTGTCTTTATTTGTTGTATATACATATCCATACTATGTACATATTTCATCTTAAATATTTTTTATAATTCATTATTATCTATTAAATTAATCTTTGTGTCGTTTTTAAGTATATTTTTTATGCGATTAAAAAATTACTTCAAATACAACAAATCCATTCAATGGAATATTCAACTACGATGATGTCTTGTTAACATTATTCCATTTTTTCCACCAGATTTTAAAATGAATTATAAAATTAAAATGTAAGTCAAAATATTTTGAATTTTATATTTCAAGAAATATTTATTTACAATCTTATTATTTTTTTCCAAAAATTAAATATACCGTTTTCAAAACTTTTTTAAAACATATATTTACAGATAACATTAAGATTTTTGTTATAAAAAGTGAGTTTTTATTGATTTCAACGTGTTGGAGTTTATTTAAAGAAATTTTATTACAATAAATTTTATTTAAATTTTTTCATTACAGAAAACAATAATAAATACGTATGTAATTAAAATTCTATTTTTTATTAATTATTACCTAAAAATTTATTACGAGATATTAAAATGATTTTAATGAAAAAAATTAGTGTTATCTTCGTATATTTTAAAAAATGGCAGGGTAAGTATTTTTCTAAGCGTTAGCGATACTGATACTGGTTATGATCTATCAATTAAAATATAATATTAGTGGGAAATAAAATTATTCATTGATTAATAAAATAAAAATAAAAACTAACCTTGTTTAATAATAACAGAAAATTTATAATACACATTATTTTTAACAATTATCAATTTTTATGTTTTTATAAGCAATATTTTGAATTTTACAAAAATATGTTATATATTACAAATACTGTTTAATAAGGAAATGATATTTATAGTCAAATATTTAACATATAAACTAAATTTTATAAATTTTATAATAATTTTATAAAAGATATATATTGTCTATTATTCATTCGACCGATTCTATATTTTTTAAAGAATAATTTATGCAATTTATGCAATTTTTTAAAAAATTACCCTAATATTTATAACATTTATCAAGATTACAAAAATTAGGCAAGTTAATAAGCTTTTTTAATTATTTTTTTTTTCAAAATCTAAAGAAAGTATAGTTTACAAAAATAATTTTTCTCGAATAGAAAAGGGCAAAATGTATTACCATTTAGTTTATACGTTCGTATTAATTGAAATAAATATAAAAAAATGAATTAAAAATATATAAAAGCATTGTTTTGAATTATTTTGAAACTGTTTATTCAATAATAATTTATCTATCAGTGTTACCACCATTTGGTTATTTCTATATCAGTTATTGCATACTTGCATGTAAAGTGTTACAATAAAATGTATTTGAATATTTAATTTAACTTTCTTGGAATATATTATATTTTATTAAATGAAAATCTGTAGTGTTTATTATATATGTCAAATTAAAAATAATTTCTTATTTTAGACAATATTATTGCATGATTTAACCTATAATTTTAAAAACAGTTAATTGTCCAATTTCTAATGAAATTTATTAAATAAATTTTTTTGCAATCCAAATAAATCAAAATGGAATTGAACGCGTCTTCTCAACTAATAAATTATAATTCATGTATTGAAAATAGGTACTTATTTTATAAATAAAAAATAAAAAATAATAGTTTTAACAATATAATGTATATCATTTCAGTTTGATGTATGAACAACAAATATGGACGTTTATGAATAATACAATTATTGCACTTTTTTCTACATTACATGATGAGAAAGCTATTACTACGTGTACTGAAGAAAGCTTACATCAACTTTTAGAATCGTTACTTTCTAGATTTAATAATTTAAATATCTTAGTCCCTCAAATGACAGCTGTTCCTATATCCAAAGATGTACAAAAAAGATATACAGGTTAAATATAACTATATTTAATATTAAATAATATATATATTTATACTTAATGAAAGTTTTATTTTGAAGCTTTTACAACATGGCTATTTGGATCAATGTTTTATTTAATAAATATGCCTATCAGTAAAGCATCGCTAAAAAAGATTATTGATATACAAGTGTGTATGGTGCGAATTTTATCTCGACTTAATTTGGAATTGCATGCTAATATTACGTCTGAATACTTAAATATTCTGGAGGGTATAAAATAAAATATTTTTAAACATAAATTAAAATTTATCTATATTAATTGTTTTTCTTATTTTTAGAATTAATTTGTTTTAGTAATTTAAGTAATAATAATAAAGAAATTACATTAAATAAATTTCAAGCTGATCAAAATATAATAAATGATCTAACACTTATACCATTTTCAGTAATAGTAAAATATGAACATATTTCTTTGTTCCAAACTTCTATTCTGAAGGTAATTTAATAAATTATTTTTGTTTATTGTATAAATTAAAAAAAAAATATTTTAGATTATTGCAGAATCTGATGTTTCTGTATGGTCTACAGATAAACTTAAATCTCAACTTATAGAAATTTTAGTGTACTCAGAGCCTAGTGTTAAATTTGTTGCATTAAAAATTTGTATTGAAATGTTTGATTATTGTTTATTAAATGATAATGTAAGTAATAATTGATTCAAATATTTATTGTAATAGTTGATTATTATTAGAGTAAGTAATGCAAACAATTATTAAAGATTGCACTAATATACTAAAAATTTATCTGTAAATTAAGTAATAAGACTGCATTTATATAAGAACATTTTCAGGATATGCAGTATATCTTTTTATTTGCAACTGAAATTGTAAAGTCATTAGCAAATTGGTATAGTAGAGGATTTATTTCAGTTAATTTTAGTCAGAAATATTCAAAAACGTTAAAACAGTTAATGTTATCGAGTGATAATCCAGCTTGTATATATTTTTACTTTGAAATTTTATCTGCATTAGTAAATCACAATCTCAGTTAGTATTTAAAATATATGATATTTATCAAATCCAAAGTTTTTACATTTATATTTACATTTTATATAGATTCTGACATACTAGAAAATGAAATATGTAAAAAAATTGATAACCAAATATGTAAACTCCCGGAATTTTATAAAAAATGTCAAACTAAAAAATTTTTATATTATTTTGAAGATCATCAGGTATGCTTAAATGAAATAAAATTGAAAATGGACTATTAATAGAATTTTTGTTTTAGCAATTAAATAAAATTCTTGCATACATTATTTTTCAAGAAATTGAAAATAATAGGCTAAATATTACTTTTACTGATATAAACAGAATCAGTAAATTATGGATTAGTTTAAAAGATTATTTTTTTAAAAATTTGCGGTTGGAGAAGTATACAGGAACTCTTAATTTTCTTCGATTAATGAATTTATTGGATTATCAACTTGCAAAAAATAATGTTTCATTGACTTTAATTGATACTGAAATTGCTAACATTCAATCACAATTTTTAAAATCCTTAGTTACTAATAATTATCATCAGAACAAATTAATTTTTGAGAATTTCGTTCAATTAATTTCTCTTAGGGAAGCTAATAAAATTCAAATTCAAAATATTTTATTACTGCCATGGCTTGATACTAATACATTATCTCTTAAAATTACAAAACTTCATCTAGCAAATGCTAAATCGTTAGATTCTGCTACAAAAGTCAAATGTTTGAATTCTATTAGCATATATGGTAAAGGACGTCAACGTTTAGATGTTTTAAATATGTGTATATCCAGTTGTGAAATTGAATTAGGAGTTGCTAGTATTTTGTAAGACAATTTTATTATAAAATATGCAACTATATAAGTTTTTTAATAAATTAAAACAAATTTTTATTTTATTTTAAGGAATTGCCCTATGTTATTACTGGATGAAAAAATTAAATTTGATGATATTATGAAACAAATTCTGATACCTGCATATAATACTCAAAAACCTCTTCTTTTTGAAGCTCTTGCTAATGTTCTTGGTACAATTGCATGTATAGTTTCCAAAAATGGACTAATTGTTAGGTAAAAATTTGAATGACTTGATGATAATTAATGTAGTTGACAGCTTATATTTATATTTTTATTACAATAAGAAAAAATAGATTTATTACAGTTAATTTTAAAAATATTTGTTATAAAATATATTTGTTAAATATTAAATATTTGTAATACTTATAATATTTTAAATATATAATATTGATTATCAATTAATCATAATCTTTCATTAAATTTATTTTAATATTATTTGATATCAATTATACATTTTGTAGAGACTCAACCGACTTTGACAAATTCATAATAAAATGTAAATATTGTGATAATTCTCAAGCTGAAATTGTAGATAAACCAGAGGTTGTTTCTTCAAAGTTTGAATCATACTTTAGTTCTTTTTTTGAGCTTCTTAATTCGAATTCCAAAAGAGTTCGACTTAATATATCTAAAAATATGATTAGACTATCCAATCATGTTAAATGTTTTAATAGTAATTCATTAGCTCTAAAATGGATATCATATGTACATGATAATGATGTTGAAATTCGAATAAATTTTGGAAAAGCAATTAGATTTATTTTAAGCAATCGAATTAGTTCATCACTACCAAATAAACTATTTCAAGATGATATACCACCCGATTTAGAAGAATTTGTTAAAATAATTATGGATAATTTTATTGATGTTTTGAATGAATCATTGAGTAGTAGTAATCAATCACTACATCAAACTTTATTGTTCACTGCTAAAAATGCAGCTTGGTAATTAAATAATTTATTAATATTAATTTATGAATAATAGAATCTATTTTATTAAAATAATTTTGAAAAATGTATTAACAAATGTTTTCAGTGTACAGTCACACTTAACTGAGAGGCGATGTCTGAATATTTTTATTTTGACAATTCTTCATGTTAAATCATCTCCTTTAATAGTTGCATTGGCTACAAATGCCTATAGAGAAGTTGCATTATATCACAAGGTTTCTTTGAAGACGATGTACATTCGATATAAAAAGGATTTTTTAAAAGTATTTATTTTGTTAAATTTTTACTTTCTTTTTTATAAATGTATCTTACTAAAATTATGATTTTGTAGTTAATGATGGCATTGGCAGTGTATAATAGAATTAAATATGACTATAATATGTCAACATCAGTACATAGAGTAGCTAAATGTATGGGCTTCCAAGGATCACGACAATTATTACGTAAAGACGGGCATTATGCTGTATGTTTCTTATTATCCGAAGTAGTAAAAAATAGAAATACAGTCACTTTATTCCATGATATTGCTGAATTGATTAACATTGACGAGAAACAAATGTTTAAAACTTATTTTCAAGTATACTGACATTTTATTTATCTTTATATTTATCTTTTCATTTATATAAATAATATTGTTTAAATATTTTTAGCATATATGTTGTCATGTTTTTTTATTTGAAAATATTGAAAATGGTATACAAATTTTTAGACTTGTCTCTAACATAACTAAAATTAGTATACCTATATTAACCGCAGATTCTTTTACGGTAATATATAATAATATTTATGGAATATATTTCTAATAATTTTTAAATATCAAGGAAAGCTTTACAATCAAAACATATTTTATTAAAAAAACTTTTATGTTTACAGCTTATAATTAGCGAGTTGATGTTACACTTTCATTCACAGCAAGAAAAAGTACTTAATCATTTACAATTTCTGTCAAAATTTGATGATCAACAAAACATTAATTTTAAAACTAAAAATGAAATTGTAAGATAATACTTATCAATTTATTTATTTAAATGGTTCATAATAATATATAGTATTGTTAAATATTAAATATCCCATTTTCTTCTAACGAAATATTTATTAAATTTTAAGGCTGAGTACTTAAATTCAATGTTACATGGTGTTCTTGTTACTTTTGATGCAAATCTTGGTTTAAATACTGAAGAATTGACACAAAAATTTGCTCTAGCATCACTGACACAAGTGATAAATTTTATGGGCTCTAATTACATTACTCAGTACAAATATAAAATTTTAGCTACATTGAGAACAGCTCTTATTTTTACAAGGCCTGGTTTCAGAAAATTAGCATGTGATGCTTGGAATGCTTTTCTGAGAAAGTAGGTATACATATGATGGAATAATTTAAGTAATAATTATTAAATAAGTTAAGAATATATTTTTAGCACGTGTATAAGAGAATTAGGACCTATATTAGCAACTATATGTATGTCTTTGATGCCATTGCTTGAAACTTATCCCAAAGAAACTAATGCAATGTTAGAATATATTTTAATCAAGAACAAACAACTTGTACAAGAACATATTTCAGATTTATTTTTTATAAATGATTTAAAAGTATCATCAAATATATCCACTTTGATCATTAATTATATTAAACAGACAAAGTATATATTTTCAAATTAATATATTAACTATTTGTATCTGTTGATTTTTAATTGTATAAAATCTTTTACAGACCAAAAACTTTAGAAGAAAATTTACATTTATGGATAAAGCGCATAATTCATCAAACTGATGAAGTTCGATTAAAAGCTCTTTTATATTTACAACAATTCCTTGCGGAAAATCGTAATGCAATTAACGATTTGATCTTATCCGATATTAATGTTCATCCTTTGATTGTAGAAGTACATTTTTATTATTATATTTATTTTATCCTTATTACATAAATTAATAATAAATATTTAACAATATTTGTATCCCCTAAAAAATTGATTCAATTTTTTAATTTTAATTTTTTTCTATTTTTTAGTTACTAGATACACTTATGGCTGGATGTCAAGATAAGGATGAAGCTATTTGTGTTGCAAGTGGAGATTGCATAGGAGAATTAGGTGCAATAGAACCAAGTCTATTACCTAGAAGAATAATTTCTCGAGGTGTATAATTTATTATACTCTTAAAATATCAAAAATTGCCATTATATTAATAAAATTTTCTTTTCATAATTTTGTTTTAGCTGATATTAAATTTATATCTGATATGAATCAAGAATTTGCTTATAGTTTGTTTTGTGAATTAGTTAAAGATTACCAATCACAAAAAAATACACAAAGTATGGATTGTTTCTCATTGGCAATACAAGTATGCAAGGCAAAATAATATTTTAATAAATAGTTTTGTTATTGTAACAGAAGATTAACAATAAATTAATTCATATTGAAGATTTATTAATAATTATATAACTAGAAAAGGATATTGTAAAACTTAATGTACTATTTATAATAATTGAAGGGCAGGTGAAAAACTGCACTGATACCATAAAATGATAAAAATAAAAATCTCTTTTTGTATATAACGTCTAACGTTTTAAATTTAGATCTAAACTTTTTTGACGTGTATTAATAATTTATTATTTTTATGATTTTTAGGAATTATTAAGATCATTTCAAATTTCACCAAGTGGTAAAAACTGCAAACTTTGGAACGAGTTACCTTCAAAAATTCAACATATGATTTTTCCATTATTAACATCCCATTACACAATAACAATTGCAAATAATGACGTTGAATTTTCCAATCCTATATACGGGTTTGATGAACAATTTTATATAGTATTTTAAATAGTAATTTGTAATTTTATTTTATGATTTTTATTCTGTTAATTATTTTTAATAGATCAGAATCTGGATCTACTTTTGAAATGTGGACGTTCAATTGGATTATTAGTATGTTAAAAAGTATAAAAGATAATACTGTTCGAAATGTCTTAAACGCGTGTCGACCAGTATTTAAACGAAGCGTCAAAATGATGACATTTTGTATTCCATATATTGTTGGTAAATTAAAATTTATTTAAAATTTAATATTATTCTATTTATTAGTATTAATTAGCAAATGTAAAAATGTAAAAGAATATATTTTATTTACTGTTAATTATAGTAAGTAAGTAAAAACATAAATATGAAAAAAATTCAAAATTAATTTGACCTATTTTAAGTTGATCATTATGTATATTAAATACTTAATTGATATAAATACAACCGAATATTTAGTAAATATAAAAGTAGATTAATAAATGTGGTATATTTATTATAATAATTTACCAACATACTATTTATGTAGTAAATCTAACATTTCATAACATATTTACAATATAAAAATTAATATTTTCTTAGAAAGCTTAAATTAAATATGAATAAAATATATTATTTAGAATGATATAATATATAATAAATAGTAAAATAAAATTATAATTATATTATTTAATATTCTGGTATAATTTAAATAAGAGCATATTATTTGATATGTTTGATAAAATTATTTTACATTTTAATAATTTGAAACTTTTAGTAATTTATATATCAGAAAATATTTCAATAACTATAACTTACAAATAAAGTATAGTGAGAAATTCTATTAAAAGAAATGTTAACAATATTATTAAGTATATTTACTTATGAATATATTTATATTACTGAAGGTAATATTTATTTTTTAATTTAATTTAAAAGAGTTTGTCAGTTATACATACCATTGAGTTTAAAGTTAAATACAATTAAACTTATAAATTTTATATTTAATATTATTGCTTAAACGAATTACAATTAGGTAATTAAATCAACCAAATTTGTTAGTAAAAATTGGCTAGTCCGTAAAGTTATAGAATAAGAAATGTAATATAAAATTCTACAAATCTTTAAAGTTTGTTTAAATTTTTAGCACATGTGGTATTAAACGGAACATCCAATGATATTAGAAAATTGAATACAGAAATATTGTCTGTAATTGCAATAAATAAAAAGTCTCATGTTGATAAAGAACTTTCTCGTCACAGACCATTGCGTACACAAATCGATACTACATCTAACAATACCCGAATATCTGATGAAGATAGACAAGTTCGCTGTTTACAAGTAATTTGTATTACTATTTGTACATATAAATCTGCAGCATTTTGTATATAATGACTAATAATTTAATTATTTAAGTATAATGCAATTTATATAAAATTTGATCAATTCGAGAAGTATAATTTTTTTTACAGATCTTAGTATTTTTACATCCAATCTTTTATAAGTTCAACATTCTTATCTACCATTATTCACTTAATAATATTCGTTTTTATCTATTTTTTAAGTATCAGTCATTTATTATGTTTGAAAAAGAAATTATTTTTAATACATTAATTACAGATTAAGTATAAATTAAATGAATTTTATATTTGAATTTAATGTAACTAATTTGTCAGATTGCCCTTAGTGTCAAAAGTTTTCTTGATAGCTTATTTTCTATTGATTTATTTAGATTTTGTAAAGTTTTTGTTCTATTATGGATTTAATTATATTCTTTTTTAAGTAGGTAAGTTTTCTTAATATTCTATATCAATATTTTACTTTAACAAACATGAAAAATGATTGATAAATTTTTCTAAAAATCATTAAATATTTAAAGATAATTTTTTGGCAGCCCTAAAAAATTGTAAAAGTTTTAAAAAAATTTCAATTCAAATTTTTAAGATAAATTTTTATAAATCTAATATAATTTTTACGTTACTAATTGTTATATATTTTATATTTATTTTTACAAAATAAAATACTTAAATAAACTTAGATCTTTACAGAAGTTTGTTATAGATATAAAGAAAATATTAAAACATTAAAAAATAATTTTGTATTTTTATTATATTACATATTACATTTTTCCTTCAATTAAAATTTATAAAAATTAAAAACATTTATTTATACTATAAGAAAAATGGAGTAATTAAACTTTTAAGTAATAGTATATAGAAATATATTTATATTTTAGGTAATATTTGCTATTTTGGACCATTTACAAAGATGGTTAAGAGAAAGATTAAAATTCCGAGACACTCAATATGAAAGGATTGAAAGTACACATTAAAAATTAAATGAAATTAAGCTTCATCATATATATTTATTTAGTAAATGATTAATTCTAAAATAACATTTTAGAATTTTGTGATGGTTTTCCTAAATTGCTTCTTGCTCAAGGATGTTATCAATCTTATGAATATCACAGAGCATTAATTTATTTGGAACAACACATGGCTTCTAGTAAAAAAGGGTTATCTGAACCAACAGAAGGAGGTTTATTAGCTGTAATATATTTATATTTATTTTAAAAATATTAAATTAAAATTTTAAATATTTACAAAATATATATTAGTCTTTTAATTAATTTTACATAAATTCTGTAGAAAATCTACACGCAACTTGAAGAACCTGATGGTGTATCTGGAATTTTAGTAAGTCAAGATCGATGTCCTACCCTTCAACAATTAGTTTTAGCTCATGAAGTCAATGGACAATATCAGGTATATATGAGTACAAAATATATAAATAGTAAAATATTTTAATATTATAATTTTGTAAATGTTTATATAAAATAAGCTATCGAAATAGAATTTGAAATTTTATATAAATAATTAATTATAATATACTCTATGTTTTCTATCGAACCTTTATTCCACAAATTGTTTTAATTAATTTTTAATATACTTATATAAATCGTATCTATAGTACTTATTTTTGAATATTTATAATGTAATTTGAACTATTCACTAGCTTTATATAATCATTTTGTCTTATTAAATAATAATATTTAATGATACATTATTATAATTCATTGAAGATTTAATTAAAAAAATTAATACAATTCGAAAATTTTACAGGATGCAGCTATTTGTTATGAGAGATTATTACAAAATGCAATTTTAAAACCTAAATATCTTCAAGGGATAATACAATGTTATCTTGAATTAGATCAGCCAGTCACAGCTATGAATATAACAAAAGGAGTATTAAAAGATAGGTATTGTTTTAATCATATTTAAAAATAATAATTTGAATTGTTATAAATAGGCGATATATAATTAATCCTTTAGACCAGAACTTGAAACTCTTATCTGTGATGCTGAACCTTTTTGGCATCTGGCTCATTTTGGAAAAATTGGAAAGGATTCAAATAATATTAAGTTAAATCTACTCAAAGATTTGAAAAGTTGTATTAAACCTAATGTTTTATTAATTAAAAAAAAGTTGGTTTCTTTATTAACATCTTTTTCAAGATTGGGTGCTTATGAACAAAGTTACTCCTACATTATGAAGTCAGTAAATATATTATTTAAATTTATTATAGATATGATATTTCATAATACTAAATTAATATAATATATAACTTATATTGTTTATTAACAAAGTTTTATTACAAAAATATTACGAAGCTGTTCATTTTAATTTTAATCAGATTTATTTCTATTTAATTTCTGTTTTTATTTTTAAGGCTACACATTTTAAATGAATTTGAAAAGGCATGTTCAATAATGCTCAATGATTTAGAAAATATGCCTGTAATATTTGAAGAATGGGAAAAACGTGACAAACTGATTAATGCTTCACGTGGTGCTGAATTTGTAATCGGAATGCGTAGAGCCATTTTGGATCTAGTTGTACAACTTCAATTAAATTCTAATGCAAATAAAACTATCATTACCAAAGAAATTGGAAAATTATGGTTGAAAAGTGCTAAAATAGCTAGAAAGTAAGATAGTAATATATTACTTTGAAAAATAAATATAATATATTAAAAATAAATTTTAAATAATATAGTTATTTATAATCTTAAAGATTATGTTTATTAAATTTCTTTAGTTATTTTTTTTATACTGCTTATACAAGTGCATATATATTTTGCAAATAAAGTTTAATATTGTCTTTTGCGAAAATAAGGTATTAAATTATAAAATGAAATCTAAAAAAATACAAGTTTACTGTAACAATCACATTTATAAAAAATAATTATATATTTTTAAAAAATTCTCAATTTCTATTTTATTATTAGAGCTGGATTATACCAGCAAGCATATATGTATATCTTATCAGCTACTGATTCTTGTTCATCACAAAATCTTTGCATTGAACAAGCTCAGTTATATTGGCAAAAGGGATCTCTTGAAGATGCATTAATAACTTTAAAGCGATGTTTATCAACATTTTTTAAACCTTCATTGGAATATAAAAAACAACCTCCAGGAGCATTTACAACTGAAAGAAAACAGTATGCAAAGGTTTGTTAAACATATTAATTTTTTTCTTAACAATAAGCATAAAGGTGTAATTAAAAATATCTATTTAAAGAAATAATATATCCATTTATTGATATTTTCAAATATATATCCATAATGTATTTCACATGATTATCTTTAACAAAATATTATTAAAAGAATTTGTTTTATACATTGATTATATTTTATTCATTGATATTGTTTTATTATTTTGAATAAAAAAAAATCAAATACAGTAATATTTGTAATATTTATATAAATTTGTGGATGACACAATGCACGTGATATATCTATTTTTAAAATTGAATGTACAAAAATTATAATTATAGTTAGGTTTTTTTACAAAGTATTTAATTATTAATTTAGACAAAATTGCTTTGGGCGAAGTATAATGATGAAACATTAAACGTTGATGCAAATGGTAATATGACAAATTACAAAGAAGCTTACGAGGTATGGAGAGCTTGGGAAAAAAGTAGTCTTGCAATTGCTCGATATTATGAATCTGTAATAGATAAGATGACAGATGAAGAACGTATGTCCTCAAGTGGACGGTAAGTTATAATAAATATGTAAGTTAATAAAATTTTTAAATAAGGACATATTTTTATAAATAAGTTAAAATTTAAAAGAAACTTGTCTATAAAAGCACATTTTTAATCAAATATTTTAGTTTTTAATATTTTTCTATGAAATAAAAAAACATTGAAAACCAAATACTTTTCAACATCCAACCATTGTCAACTTAAATATATGTGCAAAAACTATTGAGTTGTAACGAAATAATATTTTTTAATTTTAAAATGTGTATTTATGTACATTAAAGTAAATGATACATGTATATAAATTATATATTTGAAACGAAATATATAAAGTTATATATTTTATACAATAAATTATTACTTTTTAATTGAAATTACAAATAATTACAATATTATTTAACACAAAATACATCTCATTTGTTATTACATTTTTATACTGTACTTTCATCTTTTTTTCAATATCTTATCTTTTAAATACATTACTCTAAATATTTTTTCTTTATTCTTCCTCTATTTCTTTATTATTATATCTTTATTTAGTTTTTGTTACTGGCAAAGCTCAATGTAAATCATATACACAAAATAATTGTACCAATTTTTTAAGCAGTTACACATATTTTATGAATAATATATATAGTTCAAATGGGATAATCTGTAGGGATAAATTTATTTTATTTAGTTCTCAATTACTCCTCTCAATTACTTACAATGTAATTTTGTATATTTGTTGTATTGTATATATTGTATATATATATAATTCAAAATACAATATATTTTGAATATATACAATAAAAATACTTACAATGTAATAATTAGCTTTCGAGAGCTTTCATAATTTGTGATATGTATGCCTTGCCAACAAAAACAATGAGACAGTTATGTATCTCTGTGGTCAAATTTTATTATTTTAAATTTGATTACTGGCTTATATAAGAATAGTAAACTTATATTGACTTAGCTTTCAACAATATTGACATACGTATTATGCATGGCTACATACTATAATAGTACTTTCCCAACTGTCAAAAATGTTTAATTTACATAATCTTATTTGAACCTCAAAGAAATTCTTCATATTTCATTCTGCTGTGTTTTATTGGTAAGATGCAAGTATATATTTTATTATTTCATGCTTATTTACTACTTTGTTGTAAATAATAAAACTATTTTAGATGGTTACAATTTTAATAAAATTAACTTAATAAATGTTTATTATATATATATATATATATATATATATATATGTATATTAATTTGTTAATTGTCTATTTTAGTGATATGCAAACACATATTGTCAACTATTATGGAAAATCTTTGCTTTGTGGTTGTAAATATATTCATCAATCGCTACCAAGAATGTTAACTATTTGGTTAAATTATGCATCTCGTGTTAGAATACATAGTATTATTTCCAATAATTCGATTATAAAAACGTTAAGTCAAATGACAAAAATTATAGGTAGATATAATTTAGTTTTTAAATTATTTTTTAAATATAAATAATCAAAGGCTTTCTGGTAAATATCTGTATATATATAGTATATCTATTTACATAAAAATATTAATTCAATCTCATACAATTTAAATTATATCTTATTCTTTAGAAGTTTACATAGAAAAAGTACCTCTTTTTATGTGGTTGACAGCATTTAGTCAATTGGTATCAAGAATTTGTCATCCAAATAATGAAGTTCGAAACACCCTTTTTACATTAATTGTTAAATTAATAAAAGCTTATCCACAGCATTGTTTATGGATGATGGCTTCTGTTTTTAATGTAATTTGATTCAGTTTTACAGTAATTCTATAGATAACTTCAGTAATCGTTTTAATTTACTTTCAGTCATCATATTCTGCACGACAAAAATGCTGTAAAGAAATACTTAATAGAGATGTATTAAAAACTCCAGAGATGATTAAATTAATTCAATGCTTTCATAAAATTTGGGAAAGACTTGTTGAACTTTCAAACAAGCATATACCTGAAGTAAAGACATTGCTTTTATTAATTGTTAATTAACATTTATTAAAAATAAATTTTATATTATAGGGAGTGCAAAACACAACTGTGAATGTGCTTTCAAGATCTTTGCCGAAATTATTAGCAGATTCAGAATTTGGCCCAATAATGATGCCAACGTCAAAATTAAGACAACTTCATTTACCAATAAAAGGCACTTGTATGGATCAGCACAATCCATTTACTCTGTAATATTTTTTATAGTTTTTATAATATATTATAATTACAAATAATAGATTTTAATATTATGCAGAGAAAAACTTTTCTTATTTTACATTAAAAAAATTTTAATGATTTGTCAAGATAAATTTTAGAAAAATAACATTAGAAATATCTTTAGATAAATTTATTATATAAAATAAATAAAATTTAATAATATATATTAATTATATAGTTTAATTAAACTTTTTATAGTAATTGGGTACAAATAATTGGAATTGAGGATCAAGTAGCTGTAATGCCTTCACTTCAGCGTCCCCGCCGAATTGCTTTACGTGGATCTGATGGAAAGTCTTATTTATTTATGTGTAAACCTAAGGATGATTTACGAAGAGATTTTCGTTTAATGGAGTTTAATGATATAGTTAATAAATATCTTCAAAAGGATCCTGAATCTCGTAGAAGAAGATTATATATTCGAACTTATGTTAGTTTAATTCATTGATACATCATATATATATTTTTTTATATAGCTAACTATGTCAAATAATACATAAACTTTAAAAAGAAAAAACATAAGTATTAGCAATAATTATTATTTGAACATATTGAATAGGATTTGTATACAAACTTTTAATTCTATATGTAACACATGTTGATATTGATACAATTACAGAGTGTAGTACCATTAAACGAAGAATGCGGTTTAATAGAGTGGGTGCCAAATTTACTTGGATATCGAAATATTCTAATGGGATTATATAAAGAAAGAAATATTTTAATTTCCCAAAAAGAAATACGAATGATGACATGTGGTAAAAAATTGTTTCGTATTAAATTAAATGATTTCCAGATATTAATTAATTATAAACTTAATTATATCATTCATGTAGCACTCAAAGATCCATTAGAAACAAAGAAGCAAATATTTTTGGAAAAACTTATACCACACCATCCTCCACTTCTTGGTGATTGGTTTCATTATGCTTTTCCAGATCCATATGGCTGGTAAATAACAATTTCAATATATAAAATAAATTTAAATTTATAAATTATTTTAAAAAAATTTTAGGTATGAAGCTCGAACAGCTTATATTCGGACTGCAGCTGTCATGTCCATGGTCGGATATATACTAGGATTAGGGGATCGCCATGGAGAAAATATTTTAGTTGATTCGAAATGTGGTGATTGTGTTCATGTCGATTTTAATTGTTTATTTAATAGAGTAAATTTATTGTTTATAAATTTATAAACATTGATAAACATAAATAATTAAGCATTTATAAAAGAATGTTGTATTTATCAGGGTGAAACTTTAGAATGGCCTGAAAAAGTACCATTTCGTTTAACTCACAATATGATAGAAGCTATGGGGCCATTAAAATATGAAGGGCCATTTCGACAATCTTGTAGAACAACAATGAAAGTTTTACGAGAACAAGCCAGTACACTAATTAGCGTTTTAAAACCTTTTGTTTACGATCCATTAGTTAGTTGGAATAGAAATCATTTGAACGATACTGGGGAAAAAACAAATGAAAAAGTAAATAATAAAAATTATATCATTTTTTATATATTAGCTTATTTAGTTTATAATGGTTTTATTTTTGTAGGCTGTGGAACATATCAAGAGCATAGAAGAAAGATTGAAAGGTATGGTTGGTACTCGAGGAAAAAGATTAGAAGCTTTAACTCTTTATCTCAGTGTTGAAGGTCAAGTCAACCACTTAATATTAGATGCTATTAATGTAGATAATCTATGTCAAATGTATATTGGTTGGGGACCATATTTATAAATAATTATTTATTTCAACATCATGTTACATAAAATTATTTTTAAACTCTAAAATATTAGTAAGATAAAATATAATATAAGTAGAAGAAACTGTAAACTAGAAAATTTGTAAAAGATCTTTGATTTTAATGTTTTGAAATAAATTCATTACATAATAAAATAATTACATACTTAAAAATACAAATTACTCTACCATAATCTACAAATTTTCATATTATATGTCTATTATTTAATAAATATTATGCTTAACAAAAAGTATTTATGGACATTTTCTTTCTACTTGACTTTTACCACTTTCTTCATATTCTTGACTTGATATCCACATTTGTTGAAAAGTTCCAATCGAGGCTAAAATAGATCCTCCTATCCATGATCCAAATCTACGTTCTGCACATCCATTAGCACTAATTAATTTGAGCCTCATACTGGATGGTATTCTCATTGACAAATCTCTGTTTAATCTTTCAGGAAATCCCTAAAAATATTTTTATAATGGAATATATCTTAAATATCTAAATTGATAGCTTTTATTATTTTAAATAAATATTTGTCGATATAATATCAATGCATTAAATTTTAATTTTTTTTAAAATTATATAAAATTAAAGAAAATACTTAATTAAATATTAGATTACAAATTTTATTAATAGTAAAAACAAAACAAAACTATCATTTTCAATTACTTATTAAAAAAAAATATTACCTGAATAAAAGAATTACCACCAGTCACTACAACACTGCCATAAAGGGCTGGTCGAACATCAACATCACACATACCAACACTTGTTGTAACTATATGTCCAACTCCAAGCATTGTGTTACCAACCATACCTCCTCTCATCTGAACCATACTTGGATCAAATAAGGCTTCTGGTATACGAAATCTTTCACAGCCAAAATCCTGTCGATAACCAGTTGGAAATTCATAAGGAACTGCAGGAGTAGTTGAAACAATTTTCTCGTCATATGGAATTTCAGAAACTTGTAAGCAAGTAGCTTGAAAGTCTTGAACAAGTTTCTTTACCATATAATTATGCCATGATTTTGTCACATCTGGAATATTTTTCTTTTTCACCCATCTAGGTTTATCATGATCTTTTACAACTTCTTTACTTCCAATCATATATGCTGGAGAAAGATCAATGTCATTTTCCTATTTAATATAAAAATTCAGTATGTTGTAAATATAGGTATAAAATATACACATACATATATATAAATATCGCTATTAAATATATAATAATTGCATTTCCCACATCAAACTCACTTGTAAAAATTGACGACACTGCATCGAAATGTAATCTCCTCCAAGAGGAGATTTCACAATAGCTTGTGTTAAAACAAATCCATCCTGAACAGGTATAGCTGATGTATGTGTAGCTCCACTATCAACAACAATACCAGTAGCTCTTCCATTTGCAAATGCTGCAAGCACAGCATTTTTTACAAGAAAATAAGCAGGTACATTATATTTTTCAAACATTAATTCTGTCAATTTTTCTCGTTTATTTCTAATATTCCAAGGTGACTCAGAAAATAATACTGGATGATACTCAGCATCAGATTGAATAACTTTTGAATAGGTGTAATCTAAGACCTATAATAAATTAATTAAATTAATTTTAATAAACATTTTAGAATTAATATAATATTTAATAACATTAAAATTAACCTTTTCAAAATGATCCCAATTTTCGATCATACCATCTTTCATATAACTCACAACTTCCATTCCTTTACGCGGTACATGCAATATTGTTGTATCAATATAATATTTTGGAATACTTTGTGTAATATTATTATCTGGTTTCTTATCGTCTATATCCATAGGTTCTACTTTTGATAAATTACAATTTCCATCTTCTCCAATACCTACAACTGCTGGAATTTCTGCTTTTGGGGTATCTTCTTGGGCATAGCCTACTCTTAATGAATGGTGACCCAAATCAAAAACAAGAGCTCCAATTTCATCGCCACCATATAACATATTAGACATTGTACAATACAATTTATCTAGAACAGTGTTTATTATTGTAAAAATATTTAAAATTTATTTTTCAACAATTTCATATAAATTTCTAAAATAATAATATCAATTGTCTATAAAACCAGAAATATACAACTATATAATAATGTAAAATACCAAATTTTCTCATAATTGGAAGATTTTAGATTAATTTTCTTAAACTTTAATACTGAATAAAATAAAACAAACCTAAAAAATAATTGACTAAGACTTAAATCGTACTTTGAAACGTAAAAAAATCTATTTGTACAAATATTAACTATTCTAATATATAAACATTACAATTCATATAAAAGAACTAATAATTTATTATACGCGAAGCAACTAGTAAGAAAAATGGTACAAATATATCAATTCCGTTGAGTACTACTGAACTGTTAAGAGCCGTTTACAACTATTTTTTTTAAACAGAATACGAAGTGATGGACATAATACATCTACATAACTGACAAATTCTAAGGTTGTATGGCAGAGGTTAAATTCATTCTGTATAAATGTTAAATTAAAAAAGTAATTTCCTAAATATTTTAAAAATATAAATTTTAATTTCAATAGTACATATAATTCTTTATATTTTTAATTTTTAAATTATGTAAATATATTTCATTAATTGTTATATTTTATTTTATCTATAAAATATTATCAACTGCTTTTTCGATTTTTAAAGTATATTATATTTGATTAAAAAAATTGTAATATAATTTTATTATAACATAACTTTATTTTATACATATATGAATATATATAATGAAACTTTTAGTAAAAAAAATTGTGTTAAAAAAGAAGTAACTAAAATCTACTAATAATTTGAGAAACAATATATTTTACTATTGATAATATATAAATAACAATGTTTTTTTTTTATTTTTATTTTCGTTATACAAACATATATGAAATATATCTGAAATATTTTATGTAACTGTTCGTTAAAAGGGTAAGTTTTTATTATTAGATACATTATTTAACTACAAAATCAGTGCCAAAGGATTTTATCTATAAATTTGAATCTAGATTCTAATTACTGTGAACAAATAAGAGATTTCTATTCTTAGAATAAAAATTGAAAATTGAATATTCATAAAAAATAAATAAACAAGATATTAAAACATCAAATTTTTTGTTTGTATCAAGAAACACAGTCTGAACATTTGTACACGTGGAAGATTTGTGTAAAGATATTAATAATAATAAAAACAAGGTGTGAGTAAATCTTAACAATATAAATGTTTATTTTACATAATGTAATTTATAAAATACGAAATCCTATTTTTTTCAAAAAACATTATGATAAATGAATGCTTACAAATGTGCAGCATGTAAAAAATAAAAAATTATTAAAATTTTTTTTGATAAATAATTTACACAATTTCTGATAAGTATACAGTTTTTTTTATAGGAAAGTTAGTATATTCCATATTAATAAGTGATGAATTTTAAAAAATTGAGAAATATTAGAAACTTTTAACAAGTGACCAATTTCAAAGCATATTTGTTTTCTATTTTATTTTTTTTTCAGTTAAATTTCAGTATTTGAATTTTTTATAAGGTAATTTATAAGGTATTTGCTTGTGTGATTCTTGTCAAAAATGTTTTTCCTAATTTTTTTTTTTTATACAATTCACAACATATTCCCTTCAATGCTGTTCAATGGAAAAGTACAATCTTTGCAAAGTATAATGATAGTTGTATATTTTTATTTAATTACATAGGAATATATTTTATGATTCTTCATATAGTTTAGTAGCAGTTATTTCTATAGTTTAATTTTAAAGAAAACGTAGGTCAATAAAACAAAATTATGGTCAAGTTTGATTTTCTGTATTGTTTTTATTGATCATCAATTTATTTGCATTAATTTTTATAATTTTAATGATTATAAATTAAATTAAACATAGAAAAAAAGTTTTATACAATATGACTAAAATGTTATGTAAGTATATTGCTTTTATATTTATAATATTTATATAATTTTAATAGTTTGATTTTAGAAATCTCTTAAGTAATGATTAGATGCAGGAAAGAATATGGAAAATTTAAATGGATAAATCATTAATTCTATCTTGACAATATTTATTCTACTACTTTAATTTATAATTATTTGATTAATGAATTAATGCAATAATTATTCATTCAAATAGTTAATAAAACTATGAATAAGTTTAGAGGGTGTAAATTGAAATTACTGAACATACTTATATAATTAATTAAAGGTATATCATTATATTGGAAATTAATGTTCTTTGAGATAAAATTATGAGTTAGCTTGAAAATTTACATTTGTTTTATTGTTTTAAAGTATATTAGCATATTAAAATGCAAAATTATGTTTTTCATTGGTTCACAAAGTAAAATAATTCAGATTAAATATATTTTTTAAGATGAATTTCTAATCTAGTCAGATGGAAGGAAAGTGCGACAAATATATTGAATTTAATAAGAAAAATTATAAGAGAATTTCAGAAAAACAGAAACAGTTAGCAAATTTTATTAAAAAACTTCATGCTGAATTACGTAGTGAATATGAAATTCTTGGGATAGATGAAGCATGGAAAATACATGTTACAAAAAGTGAACAATTAAAAGTAAATTGAATTTATTTTTTCTTTTATGTAATTCAAGTATTTAATCCATATATTAACCATTTTTGTTATTTTTAGACTTATGCTGAATTTATGTATGAACTTGCAAATAAATATTGGACATATGAATCCAAAAATACTTCAGTTACTTACTGTAGAATAGAATGGATAAAACAACAATGTAAAGATTATTTCTTTAATGGAAAGATGAACGAATTTGATGCTAGAGAAGAATATTTATTTAAGAAAAATATTCAAATCTTAAATAAAAATTTTAATATTAAAAATATTAAAACTACAGTTTCATCTACAATAAGTGTTTTAGATGTTGGTAGTTGTTATAATCCATTTAAAACAGAAAATAAATTTTCTGTAACTGCTATAGACATAGTTCCTTATTCAAATGATGTTATAAAATGTGATTTTCTAAATTTAAAGGTAGATAAAGAAGAAATTTTTTCGCAAGATAAAACAATATTAATTGAACTACCAAAAAATTCATTTGATACAGTTATCTTTTCATTATTCTTAGAATATCTTCCATGTCCAAAACAACGATATTTATGTTGCAAAAAAGTATATAATTTATTAAAAGATGGTGGTATATTGTTCATTATAACTCCTGATTCAAAACATGAGGGTGCAAATACCAGAATAATAAATTTATCATGGAAAGTTATTTTAGCAAAGTTAGGTTTTATGAGAATTCATTATGAAAAATTACGTCATATTCATTGTTTAGTATTTAGGAAGTGTTTTTATAAAGAAGTACCAGTACAAAAAATCAATTGGAAAAAAATTCCCAATGATGATTTATTTTCTTCAACAAAAATTTTTATTCCACAAGATTTCCATCATACTAAAATGCAAGAAAAATATTCTTGTACTCATTTAAAAATATTTAAACATAATGATAAAGAATTAATTACTTTATTTAATGAACTGCCCAATGATTATTAATAGTAAAATTTAAAACATTTTGTAAATGTATTATATAATAAATGTATAACACATATTATAGAAGTACCGTAGTACAATAAAAAAATTCGTTTTAAAATTTTTTAGAAACAATGTTTTATTTTTTTCTGCAATATTGTATTGGTGCAACTACAATACTTATGTTATAATGAAGAGAATAAAATATTAGAATTATTTTTCACTATAAACAGTGAATTGTTTGACAACAATCGTATTGGCTAAATTAAACTGTAATAACATATGAAAAGTACACATTACTATAAAATGACTGAAATACACTTATAAATTGTTATGTATGAAGTACAAATAATTGACTATATAAGAATTTATGTAAATTTTATTAAAATTTTAATAATTTAAAAGAATTAATTTTTTAATATCAGAGTTTATATTTAAATACAATTTTAACAAGTAAAAAAATGTTAAATTTGAATTAATTTAGTTAATTGTATAAAGATTTTAAATATTAAAATGTACTTTAAAAAATTAAAAAGTTAATTATATTATGAAAGAATATAAAAATAAAATGCTTTTGTACATCTTGTATTTTAGAGTTTTAGTATTGTACTAATCTTATTAGTATTTACTAACATAATTTTAAAGAAATATTGGATTTCATATCCCACATGCATTTTTAAAAAATTGTATAAAAGTTTTATAGTTTCAACCGATTTAAAAAAGAATGTCTTATTTATTAAGAATTAAGAGATAATAAATTGCATTTTCTTTTTCACAAAAGAGAGTTCAAAGATGTATTCGAAGAGGTACACTATTCGATCTGTTTTCAGCCTTAAGTTCATATTTTATATTGTTAAGTGTTTCTTGAATAAATTTAAAAGTGGGTCTCTCTGTTGACTTTCTATTCCAGCAAAGTTTCATGAGATTGTAAATGGACAGAGGAGTATTTTCTGGACATAGCAACACATTACCTTCCTTAATATACTTGACAACCTCTTCATGTGTCATTCCATAGTAAGGTTGAAGTGCAAAGCTAAAGATTTCCCATAAACAAACAGCAAAAGCCCAGACATCTGACTCTACTGTGTATTTATTATATAAGATACTTTCTAATGGCATCCATCTCACTGGAATAGCATCTTGTTCATCTCCTTTATAATAATCCTGCAGATAAATTTTCTGTGATAATCCAAAATCTGCTATTTTCACTATCATGGTATCATCGATTAAACAATTTCGTGTAGCCAAATCTCGATGCACAAACTTTCTATCTGATAAGTATACCATGCCAGAGGCGATTTGCCGCGCTATGTTTATTAAATCCATGTGCGATAAACGAGAATCGGTAAAGGTATCATCTCTTTCAGCGTTTCGTACAATATAGTTGCCTGGAGAGCAAGAGCGAAGAAATTCATTTAAATCTCCTCGGCCCATATACTCAAATAAAAGACACATGGGACGTCCCAGAGCACAAACACCCAAGAGTTTCACGATATTAGGATGGTCAAATTCTGAAAGGAGACATGCTTCTCGTTCAAAGTCAACTAGTAAATCAGCAGATGCTTCTTCCTTCAGCATTTTTACAGCTACATTAGTGAATTCTTCATTAGGAATGAGGCCAGGTGCTTTAGCTTGAAACACTCGACCAAAAGCACCTTGACCTAAATCTCTTACATACATGATGTTATTTCTTGGGAATTCAAGTTTTTCTAATTTTGGATTTAGTTGAATACTGGTTTTATGATAAGCATCATTGTCTGGTAATTTATTTAAATCAATATTTACTTCCTAAAATATAAATTTATTAAAAATTTTAAATTAAAATGCAAAATAATACAGTTCAAAAAACTTGTTTTAACTTGAATTAGGATAACATTAAAAAAATTAATAAAAATTCTTTATATGTAGGCTTATTGATATATTCTAAAAACATTAACAAATTATTTTTTTTTATAGTTAATTACGATAATTTACTATAGTAGATATATGATATGTGGTATATGCTATTTATAATTTTAAGAAAAATTCACTATTTTTAGAATAAACATAACTAATATGATAAAGATTGAAATTATAAAATAAAATTTTAATAATAAATCAATAAGTTTGGAATATAATTCTGTCAATTAATTTCTATAACAAAATTTTCATACTACCTGACATTCTGTTTGGTTATAACCTTGATGTCGTTTATAGAATTTTTGAGTAATGAGAATTATTGATAAACAAATAACTAGAGTAACAAATCCTAAAATTGATATGATAAGTATCGACTTTGATGTTAAGAAACTTTGTATTGTCAAATCATTTTGATCAATTTTAATACTTGTAGCTGTTGAATTTTCTAATAAAATATATTGAATTATAATAGTTAATAATGGTATAACTTAGTAAATATAAATAAAAAAATATTAATACCGCATAAAGGAATATCACAATGTTCCCATCTAGTATCGGTATTCATAGTGAAGCACCATGGCATTCTTTCATCTCCACCAGCATTTCGACAATAATTTTCACCAAAACGAATTTGTGGAAAGACATCTGGTGGTCCATCATGGCTGTGTGGCTTTTGATCTTTCCACATTTGACATGCAAGACCACTTTTTGTTTTATTAATTTTACCCATGTAAAAACGTCCTTTATCTTTATAACAATCATCTAAAATAGTTATAAAAATAAAATAATTCTATAAAAGTTTATATCGTTAAATCATAATATTAATAACCAAAATACATATTAATTAAAACATTAAGAAATGCTTTAATTGTTTATATATATGATAAATAAATTTATTAATAGAATGAATGTAAATTCTTAGAAAGGTTTTTAAATATATTAAAAAAAATATTTTCAAAAAATTTTTTACATGACTTACACGTTATAAGATTTTTGTTCATAACTGTTAAAGAAACATGTGAACATGTCAGTTCTTCGTTAGAAATTTTTGGTAATTTTTCACATTCCGGTAGTCTGAAATGTCCACGAGATCTTATATAAATCTCTCTAACTTTATTGTCTTCAATTAAAGCCCAATCATTAAAACAAAACTGTAGTCGTACTGCCATACAATCTTCATAACAAAGAGGTAGTCCAACAATTCCTTGACATTGAGGAAATGCATAAAAACATAGCATTTTCTAAATAATGAATAAAATATATTTTGGTTTTAAGATTGAAAGTATTTTAAGCTCAAAAAAATAACTTTTTAAATTATCAATATTATTTTATAATAATTTTATACATTATGCCTTATTTATAATATTTAAAATAAATAATTAGGTAATAAATAATTAAAGATTAATATATTACCTCTGCAGCAGAACGACATGGTTCAGTTAATTTTTGAATTAGCTCATCCCATAAATCGGTTGTAATTTTTTCATTTAGCCATCCACTAGGATTATCGATTGAGTCGTTAAACCATACTGTTCCAATACCAGTTAAATATTTTTTACATATTTTACCATTATACGGTGCACAATATCCATCTGGATGATCTCAAAACAAATTAATATATTTTTTAATTTTGCTATAACAAATGTAATTAACAAAAAATATAAATTTACTTACTTATAGATGTTCCAGCACCAAAATAAAAACCAATTGTAATTAAAATAATATTCCAAAACATCATAATGTAAAGATTATTTCTGTATCATGTGTATTCTTTTTTATTGACTTGATATAAGCATTTCCAATATGAATTAATTTTACAAAAGTAAGTTTTTATTTTAGTACATTTAGATAATACAGATCACATTTTTTTGTTTAAATTTTAAATCATCGAATTGATAAAAATAGTATTGTGAAATTTAACTTATCGTTGAAATTTTTCCAAATAAGCATTTTACAAATTTCATATGCAAACAGCACATGCCTATGCCTATGTGTGGGCCTGTATATGTGCTCATGTGTACGTTTTCGTGTGAATGTGTTAATAGCTAAAAAATCACTTTAAAATAGTGTTATTGAGCAATATCACGTAATAATAATATTTAACGCCCCAAAAGAGTTAAAGAATGCCGTTGATCATATCTAATTTTATATGAAAAATTAAATTTCAAATTATTTGCATTTAACATCTTCATATCGTATATATTTTAATACAAATAAAACTATATTCAAATATAGTTCACTAATATCATATTCTATGAAAAATGAATCCACCGAGAAATATTTGTTTTAATATTGTATCACATAACAAATGATATAGATGCATATAGAGAAAACGAAATCTAACAAAAATGCTTTACTTTTCTATTTGCGGTATATTCACCTCTGCTATGCCTAGGAATGTACGAGATTCTTACTAGTTTACATAGCTGATAAAAGAGGGCGTAAAAGTAAATGAATTTAAAGATGTTTTCTAAAATAATTAAATTCTACATTTGCAACGAATAATTTTATAAGAAAATATTTTTTTATACATTTAGTATAAAAATATAAATAAAAATGATCAATTAAATATAATTGAATACATTAATTAATATATTTCAATTAACTATTTATAAAACTTTTTTATAATTTAAATTATTTTAATCAATTTGTTTTTCTAAAAATTTAATTTATCCATACAGTATACCTTTTATTATATAGTAGTTTGTAAGAATAAATTTAATTTTGTATTAAATAAAAGAAAACTTTATAATAATTACAAGTAAATATTTTATTCAAAATATTTAATTTAAAAACCATAATAAATGCTTGATAGCTTTTAAAATATTGTGATTTTGATTTATAAATCATTAGTATTTAATTTGTCAATTTTTTATTACATAATTGTATACAAGTTACAATTCCATTGAATCGATTGAATAATTCATTATTTATATAATGCACACGACATAATATACAGGAATCATTAATGGTACTTGATTATGTGTATATATATATAGATTATTTAACACTTAATATAAACTAAAAAGAATTACATCATTATACTATTAATATAAATCTAATTAATATATGGAAACTTATACTATACTTTCCACATATTACCTATATACTTTCACCTATGCCTTCACTTTCTGTGATAAGAGCTCGCTCCAAAATAACTTTTCCTTCTTTATATTGTTGGTTCTTATCTGTAGCAAATTCATACATCCATCCTAATTTAGCATCACAATTTTTGCAGCTCACATCTCGTACCATGTGACGTCCAGTTAGCATTACTCTATCTTGTACTTCACTATAAATAAAATATTACCTGATAAAAACCTCAAATTATTTATACATCTATAAAGTATAAATATTTATATTGATTGATTTCAATTTTTTAATATGATGATCTATTAATAAAATATATAAATTTTAAAAAAATTTGACAAACAAAATCTGTGCAAAGCTTGTATTAAATATAGTTTTAAATTATTAATAATTTAAACATAACTATCAATATTATTTATTACTATTCTCAATTTAAAGTGTCTAGACTCAAATATTACAACAGTATATAGAATCCAAATACATATAAAATGTATAATATCGAAAATATGGCAGTTATTTAAGGCTTATGAATTGAGATTGAAATCAAATTTTATTAGAGATACCTATATTTTAGATTGACGACTTTATTGAAAAGAAATGCTCGGCCTGTTGCTCCGGTGAATCGCGTACTTATCAGCTGATCTCTATTCGTTAAATTTGTATCGCAAGATGCACAAGAAAAAAGACGAGTGCCACCAATGTGCTCAAGAAATATAACACCCATTTTTATTTTTACATTTGTACCGTGTTCAGTATATTCACTATTTTTGTTTTATAGATTTTCATTGGCAAATAGTTCAAGCAATTAGAAAAGACTAGGTACAATACTAAAAAAGTTCTCTCATCATTTTTAAAGCACACTCAATCTCATTTTAGAAGCAAGGATAAACATGGTTATGTATGTATATATAAGATTTGTACGAATTAAAATTTCATGAATATTTAACTGCCAGTTACTGCTCCTAGTGGTTAAAACCTAGAACCATACACATATTGAAAATATTGAAGTTAAAAAGTGTAATAAAATATAAATAAAAAAATAAAGCAAATTATTTATTAAATTTCTTTCAAAGAATTTTTGTGTACCTTCTTATTTTTTATATATCTAGTGTTTATATATATATATATATATATACTGTGAGTATTTCATATTTATTTTTAAAGTTGGTTTATAATGATGTAGTATTTCTATTGTAGAATTCGTTATGTTTATCGATTAAATTATAATGTAATAGTTTATAATATATTAAGAAAACATTGGTTTAAAAAAATAATTTTTAAATTTCCAAATTTTATGAAAAATCATAAACATGATTCAGGTTCTAGAAAATGAATATTTTTCATATTAAATAATTACTAATAAAAATATAATTTATTTTAATTTAAATTTTACATGACTAAAAATAATCATCGAAATTATTTATATTTATATTTAATAGGTATTTCATTATATTGATTATTTAAATGATACTATAACATAATGTTAAATCCAATAAAACTATTTTCTATATTATTTTAATATAAACAATTATTTGTGTATAATAAAATAATACTATTAGTGAATACTTTTCTTATTCCATTTACTTATAAATTCTTTGATATATTCAATATAAAATCTCCATTTATATGTCCCTTTGAATAATTGTTTTATTTTTCAATATAATTTTATTAATTAATCATTTTCAATTAGTATCTTAGAATCACTTTCATATTGTTAGATTAATTGTATTTAACAAATTTTTGTACAGTTAGGATTTAATTTGTGAAAAACAATTATTTTCATAGCTTGCTGAATAATTATGCCAGTCTGTACAATTAATTTATTCATTTTATTTTTATTTTACCAATATCTTTTTTTGCAACAAACTCAATGTTTATTAAATTATTTTCTCTTTACTTTAATACTAAAAGTAAGCAATTAAATCTAATTTTTACCATATATATTTATTTATATAGAGATTTCAAATATTTGATTTAATTTTCTACTATTACATAGAATATACATAAACATAAATTCATATTATTACTAATATAATTATTTTTTAATTTATCTTTATTTTAAAAAATTTCTTATTACTTATATTTTAAATTATTAAGGGCTATGTAAATTCTTATAAATTCATTTTTACTTACTTTTAAATAAATATATCTTAATATAAATATATATTCTATAATTGATTCATATGTTATATTAAAATATGTCAAAAGTTTTATATTAATTGGTTTCATAAAATAGTCATTTTTTAAAACAAATGTGGAATTCTGATAAACATTTAAAAATATTTTATTTAAAACACTTTTAAATTTTTCTAATATTATTAGTTTTGATATTTATATTAACTATTTTATAAAAATTAGTTATAGTTTGTTTTAACTAAACAAAAATATGTAGCTAGTAAATATTTAGAAAAAGTTAAATAAAACTATAATGGTTTATTGTATACTTAAATTGTATTATTAGTGCTTTAGTTTGTTTGAGGATGAAGTTATACATTGTCAAAAATATCGTTATTGATTTTGTTCAAAGCACATTGGTAGCAGTCTTACCTTTTTAATCACATATATGCCTAATATAAATATATTTATAATTTTATAATTATTATAATGCAGTTTGAACATTATATTTAAAAAAAAAAATCATAAATACAATATAAGAATAATGTGACTTTTTCATTATAATGTAAATATAATAAATTAAATATTTTCTTCTATGCCATCACTTTCAGTAATAAATGCCCGTTCCAAAATAATTTTACCCTCTTTATATTCTTGGTTTCGTTCATGAGCATATTCATACATCCATCCTAATTTTGTATTGCAGTTTTTACAATTCACATCACGAACTATATGACGACCAGTTAACATGACTCTGTCTTGTATTTCACTAAAATTTTTAATAATTTTTATTTAGAAAATTGTAGTTGATTTTGAATGGCAAATAGTATTCTTAAATATATTTAATATTAGTTACATAAGAATATTAGAAATTCATTTGTTATAATTTTTGAAACATTTTTTTTAAAATTTATTTTTATGTTATAAGCTAGTTTTTTTTTATTTTTTAGTTTTTACATTGATCATACATTACTATTAATATATACATGTTAAGTGCATACAATTAAATGTTGAAAATAATATGTAAAATTCAAATAAAATCATGATAGTTATATTGATAGATAATATGAATATTTAAATATTTATCAGTCATATAAAAATACAAATATTAAGAAATATATATTAATATAAATATTTTTAGTTGATAAAAAAACATTAATGAAAAATTATGTTAATTATAATTATGTTTCTATATATTTTAATTATCACTGAGAGCTGTACACATAACAGTAAAATTGCGTACGAGTCGAAAACTTTCTATATTATGCAATTATATGATTAAGAAATAAAGAATACCTTGTGAACCATCTTACCTGTACTTAACGTTAACAACTTTGTGAAAGAGAAAAGCCCTTCCGGAACCACCCGTAAAACGTGTACTTATTAATTGGTTTCTGTTTGTAAGATTTGTGTCACAATGTAGACAGGAGAATAAGCGAATGCCGCCCATGTGTTCGACAAATATGACACCCATTTTCGTCAACACTATTTACGCCCGAGAATTTACGTACGAGAGCAAATTGTCTGCAAAGTGGATCACATTGATGTTGGGCCAATGAGTTAGATGTTTTGTGCATATATAATACGGCAAAAAGGCGAAACTCGAACATGCATGTTAAAGAATATGTTTCTAATATGATGAGAGATGCTCACTTTACGAATGCAAAAAACATCTAAGTCAAATAATAAATGTAAGTATATTTTTTCTATATTTACAATGCTTTTATACGGCATTCAACAAAGATCTGAACAGCTTATTTCATTGACAAATTGCTGATTCGTTATCAATATCTCCCTTATTTTCATTTTGCATAGATAAAACGTTAATTTATTAAAGAATGTTTATTTTTTAAAAGGATTTTAATAAAATAATAGATTGTTATAATGCATAATTTTATTTTTATAGAATGTATTTTGAAGCCAAAATCATTGTATTTGAAAATAATGTATGGAAATAGTAAAATATGCAATTTTAATATATTCTACCAATAAATGTTTTTGTTCTATTATACTATAATAAATTTAATAATGCAGTTTAAGTATATATTTCATTTTAAAAATTATTTTCTTTAAATTTATTGAAAAATTGAAACGAAACATTTCATATATATATATATTACATGACAAATGCCATTATTTTAATATTTAATAGCAAAATTATAGGAATAGGAGTATGTTATTATTTAGATAAAATTATATTTTTTAAAAAATGAAGAACATTATTTTCTTCTCAAATTAATTTGTAGTAATTGTTATGAATAATATAACATTTTACAAGTAAACAATTATTATAAACTTTATTTTTTTGTTTAAGATAGAATTGAACAAATATGCATATCTATTATTTAATATTAATATATATAAGTTATTATAAAATGTAAATTTTATTATATATAAAGGGTAAATAATACAAGATATTTTGACAATTTGACATTACACATCAGTTTAGAATTAAAATATATTTTTTTTAAATTAAATTTTATAGGCCTGGCATAATATAGGCTATATTTTCTAAAGTCTTAGATAGGGAGATAGCATTTCGATGTCCAATAATAGGAATCTGTTGGGAGAGACAAATTAAACTACCAAGAGCACACAATAATGAATCTAATAACACTGATAGACTTCCTGAAACAGTTATTTGTCCATTATGTTCTTTTAATTTTTCACCAATAACTGTTAAACTTTCACCTAATAATTTTAAGTATGCAGCAATATCAATAGGTTGAAGTTCAATATCTCTGAATATATTCATTTCTTTAATGGGATCTCTTATTGCTTCTTTACCATTACGAGACGATTGAAATGGTAATACTTTTATTGACTCAGGTAATCGAGAAATTTCTAAATTTTTTTTTGGTGAATTAGATAAACATGATTTAATTTGATCTGTAAGTAACATAAAATATATTTAATACTATATATCCAAATTTTTAAAAATAAATTAAACCACATATATTTCTGTAATATTTTTATATAAATAAATAAACATACTAGTTTTGGATATAAATTTTTTTGGAGATATCGTTTGATTTTTTTCAGCAAGGCGTTTAGCACGATTGCTCCAATTATATTTTTCCATATTAGGAACCATTGCCCATAATTCTCCTAATCGTTTTGAAATTGATGTAAAGTCTAAAGTTAAATATATACATTTATGATATGATATAAATTTATATATAATCCTTTATTAATATGCAATATTAAAATCCTTACCCATGGTAGGGCAATCTTTGAGTAATTCTAATCTCATTTCTTTAGACCATAACATATATGCAGTATATCTTGTTTTCTAAAATAATTGTATTTATGATTTTATATTCGTCATTATCAGATTAATATCATAGTCAAATAAAATACTTACTGGTTTTGATATAACCATTGCTTTCAATTTTGGTTTCATGTCTAATTTAAGTGGAATAACTTTTTTTTTAGGTTTTGTCGATAATAGTAATTTCGTTTTTGGAATTACAATCTGATCATCAATTGATTTTGAAGTATCAAATCTCATATTGTTACTAGAAAATTCAGCTATATGTAATTTTTTATTATCATCTTCATCAGATTCTGAATTTGTTGATTGTGATTGGGTTTCATAGTCTGAACTAGATTCTATTTTTTTTTTTTTATGTATTGATATTGTTGATAATTTAATATCTTTTTTTGAAGATATTATAGTATCTCTGTTTGGAGGTGGATGATGGATTTGAGCAACATGAACTGTATGAATTACTTGAGAAACTGGAGAATGAACTTGTTGATACTCTATTGATTTTTTCTTTTTAGCCTGCTCATGTGGTAATTGAAATTTCGGTTTCTTAATTTTATTTTCAATTACATTACTTGAAGATTCAAAATCCATAAGTTTGTATGACTTTTTACATACTCTACCACTACGTGATACTCCAGTTACTTCTAATTCTATAAATTAAAAAAAATAAAATATAAAATATTTTTAAATATTTAGCACAAATATACATTGATATTATAACAATATCATAATTCAAATTTAAAAGTAGTACTGAAAATATTTTGTAATCTTAAAAAATAAAGTATAATAATTACCATTGTATTCACGTTTTGAAATGGCAAATGCTTCCATCTTAAATTTGTTTTTAAAAATTTAATTTGATTTTAAATAATTACAATAATATTACAGAAAAATAAATTTATTATATTGCACAAATTTTAAAGTTAATAAAATACTATGCTGTTTAGCCCATTTCTTTTAAAAGGGACTCATTATTTTTAAAATTATTGCTTTTCTTTGAAAGATCAGTCACTTCATAGTCTGGTTATTTTTCATTGTTTAAATAATATAAGTATAAAATGATTCGTTAGAAAAGCACATATCAGAATTATAAAAAGCGCGCTGCGCGCGTGATCCACTGTTAATATTATAAAAAATTTTAATGTTGAATTCTCATACTAATCTGTAATTGAATCTCAAATGTATAATTTCCAAATATCGTCATCTATTTTTATGAAAGTATTATAAAAATTAAAAATTTATAAAACAAACATTTTTAATAAATCAACACTCAATTCTCTCAAAGTGCCGTTTTGACAGCAGATAAGCGTATAAATTCTCCATAAATAAAGCGGGAAAAAGAAATCATAACCAATTAATTACTAAGCAAACTTGTTTTATGAATTTGTGATCTTGATACTGATATTAACGAGTAAATTTTGTATAAAAAACGGCTTATTGTCAACATAAATGTGAAAAACGTAGCTCTTAAAAATATTGTTTTAACCTTTCTAACCTCAGTTGAACATGTCATAAGCCAGAAGTTGATAAACTAGAAATCTAATAATTTTGTGCATTATAATAGATGGCGCTGTTGTATATAATGAGTAGTTTGAAATGTTGTTTAAAGAGGACGCTAGTATCATTTGAAAGCTGTTTATTTGTTATGTTAGAATTTTATTTTTCAAATACATCGTTCCACGTGTTCTTCAATATTTGGGTTTAAAAAAAGAGTTAAATTAAATAATTACATTTTTATATTATTTGAAAAATATTGATGAAATAAAAAATGAACAGTAATTATTTAAAAGAATCGTAAGAATTTATAAATTAAATGAATAGCACTATTAATTATTTTTTTAAATTAATAATTTAAATTATTTAAATTAATTAAATAAAGCCAATACTTAAAAAAAATTTCTTAAAGCAGTAAATATGTTTTAGATTTGATGTAGTAAGTAAGTATGAGGCCTTTTACACAGGAGGAAATATCGAGGTACTCTAATTTAATATGTAATTTATGAACTTTAATATTAATTTAATTGCAAATAGCAACTATTTATGTACATATTTTTAGTGGAGTGAAAATGGCGAACAACTTTTCTGTCAAAATAAAGACTTTATATCAATAGTAACAATATCTAATGGAACAGTGATTAAATTAGGAAAGGTAAATAAAAAGATTAATGATGAAATAAATAGTTTTTCTATTAGTAAAGATGGAAAATTTATAATAACTCATCATAAAAGTAGTCTTTTTAAATTATGGAGTGGACAAGGTAAATCTATTTTATTTAAAAAAATATAATTAAGTATGTCTAATAACAAATTAAAAATCATTATCGATATTATTATTTAAAATTGAATATAATTAAAGAATTAAAACTTATAAAAATTTGGAAATCTATCCACAATGGTCCAGTATCTGCAATTGCCTTAACAAAAGATGGTTTAAGTATGGCTTCAGGAGGGATTGATGGATCTGTAAGATTATGGGATTTAAAATATCATGTTTGTATACATAATTTAAAAGGAACTGTAGGAGTTGTTAAGTAAGACTTTTTATTGCTATACTTATAAATATTACAGTAACATTATTTATAAGAAATTGTTATTTTTATTCTTATTTGATCAATATTTTATTATTGCAGTATTGTCTATTATCATCCCAATTTAAAAAAAGAAATTGTCTTTGCCACTGCCGATGACTATGCTATTCATGGTTGGAATATTAAAACAGGTTTAAAAGAAATGACTTTAGAAGGTCATTTTAGTAAAGTGACATCATTAACAGTTCATGAAGATGGAGTGCATGCATTAAGGTTTTAAAATTATTTTATAATTTATATATGATTAAATGTTTAGTAACTAAAGAATATATTTAATATTATTTACTTATATTTAATTAATATTAGATATTTATTTATTATGTATGAAATTTTACTTGTTAAAAAATTTTAAATATATTTTTAAATTATATTTTTGTTTAACATATTTGATGACAGTGACAATAATAAGTTTAAGTTTATAAATAAGTTTATAAGCAATAATTTTAAGTTTTAGTTGAAGTTAGAAAACTTTTTATTGTAAAATAGCTCATAAATTTTGGATTTTCAGCATTTATATGTAAGACTTATATGGTCTTACCTCTTTATGTAGAATTTTTACTTTTTTATTTAAAAACTATTTAAAAATTTGATTTGTTTATATTTTTTTATTTTATATTTTATATTATTTTATTTTATTTATATTATCTTATTTTATTTATATTATTTTATTTTATTTATATTATTTTATTTTATTTATATTATTTTATTTTATTTATTTATTTTATTTA